GGAAGAGGAAGAAAATAAGAAGAGAAGAGGCAGCTGAACCATTGTTGCTGAGATTGTTGGTGTCTTTGTTCCCATTCTTAAGCTCTTACACAAACATGCTCAAGTGAAACATTTAATTTCCCTAAACCGAAACAAACCAATTGTTGATTTCAATCAAACCGAACCGGACTGGTTAAAAATAGCTAAGAGATTAAAAAGAGATTAATGAGAACCGTTTAAAAACGTATGTGCCTTAATTTGCTTCCACCATTTGTTTTCCATGACTTTCCTCTTATCAAGAACATTTCTTTCTCTCACACTCAGACCTTCCTGCTCGATTTCCATGGCAAATGTATCGACGAACGCGAAAGCTCGCCTGAGAGGCGTCGTATTCGATATGGACGGAACCCTGACGGTTCCGGTCATCGATTTCGCCGCAATGTACAGGTCTGTCCTCGGCGAAGATGAGTACAAGCGAATCAAGGCGGAGTCTCCTACTGGAATCGATATTCTCCACCATATCGAGTCGTGGAGCTCCGATAAACAGCAGAAGGCGTATGAAATCATCGCCGATTATGAGAAACAGGGTATCGATAAGCTCCAAATCATGCCCGGTACGGATTCCTCCTCTTGATTTTTTTTTTTTTCATTTTGAGTTTGTGTTTGTGCAGAGGATTTGTGGGAAGTGTGAGGCAAAAGATTTAATATTCGGATGTGATTTTATATCTTGTAAGAAAAAGTTGATATTTTTCCCATAAATGGGTTAAAGATTTAGAATTCGAACTTGGTAGAGTTACAATCGAGAAAGACTGCAATTTCAAGAAAAACGTATCAGTTTTTGTTGTTACAAGACTTTCTGGTCTATGGAGATTTGACTTTCATTGTTTTACTTAAATCATATGCTTATTTTATCATTGGATCTATGATGTTGAACATAAGTTGAGTACTATATATAAGATGATTTGCATTTGAAAATCTATATAGCATATTGAGATTAACTCAAGATGAAGGAAATATGTCTACACTCTTCAGATTAATTTTGTACAGTGTATTTCTTTGGAAATTAGCGGTTTAATTCTCTTCTAATATGAGATAAGTTTGTGTTGCAGGTGCTGCTGAACTATGTGGCTTTCTTGATTCCAAAAAGATAAAGTCGGTTTTTCACATTCTCTTATCTGTAATTTGTGTTTTACTTATTCAACCTTAAGAATATAACCAACGTTTTGTATATACGTTGTAGGAGGGGGCTAATTACACGAAATGTCAAGAAGGCAATCGACATCTTCCACCAACGTTATGAGGTAAGCATTGTAAGCTCTAAGTTCAAATATTATAATTAAAGACAAGTTTGACTAGTCTGTTCTTCACAAAATGTTTCTCATTGTATTAGGTCATCTTTTCTCCAGCACTAGGCAGAGAGTTTCGTCCATATAAGCCAGACCCGGACCCGCTGTTGCATATATGTTCTACATGGGACATCCAGCCTAATGAAGTCATGATGGTTGGTGACAGCTTAAAAGATGATGTAAGTGACATATATGATGAAACGAGTCTTTAGGCCAAAGGAAGATCCGCGTTTAAGCCCATGAAAGAAGCTTAAACATGGATCTTCTCAGACTATTTATTTACATCTTGACTGATGTTTCCTTTCACTCAATTCTGCAGATAGCATGTGGGAAACGAGCTGGAGCCTTCACTTGCTTGCTAGATGAAACCGGAAGGTATGCACCAGAGGATTTTTCTGTCTCTGGACTGCATCCTGATTTTAAGGTTGATTCCTTGTCCAAGATTCAGAACCTATTGGAGACGAACTTCGACCTAAACCCTTAGTGTGTTTTTCTTTCAAGTTCCGTATCTTGTAGTCTCAGTGACAAAATTAGTCTCCACTCAACAAAGGCTGTGTAGATTGCAGCAGGATCACTATTGTAACAGAGATTATGTCATGACACAGTATTTGCTGCTCAGATTACAGAGTTCTATTCACTGGCCATCTTATGTTGACCACATAGTTGTCTAATAAATTCAAGATTGTCAACTCTTTGATTTCATCTCAAGTCTCTGAAATTTGAGTTTGTTATGTTTAAAAGACTGCTCAATCGCTCTTAGTGTTACTACAGTGAACCAAAGTATGGCATATTTCTTCTTTTATGGCATATATCTTTTAGTTAGCACATGTTTTTGTAGAATGATGCAAACATTACATTTCTTTTTTATGGCCATCTAATGCCATATTCCCAGAACAATAGCGATTACAAATAATATCAACAAGGTCAAGTTGCCTCCCGGAAGAACACACGACCTGCAAAATCAGAAGCTTTTGGTTTCAATATCATTCCTGCAAAGATAGTTCACATGAAGGAACAGAGGACTAAAGAGAAAGTTGTGTGTTGTTGTGTTGAAGATACCTAAGCTTCTTTCTGGACTGTTGAATATAAGCCATCGCAGGAGGGAGGACACCAAAGAGGAAGCAGTTTGCATAAACACCTGCAAAATCCAGAGCTCTCGAGAACGTTGAGGGGAAGAATGTTGCTATTAGAGCTGGAACTCCAAGCACAAACAGCATCACTACTGCTTCGAATCCATCACGAGCTCTTGCTGGTTCACTGTATGAAACTCTCCCACTACTTTCCTCCGATGAGAAACTTACCAAACCAATTCTTCCTTTTCCATTTCCATTTGATTGCTTAGACACGAGCTTCCATGTATGAAGAAGCTGCTTCGGGAAGCTAACAGCGTAACCGATTAAACTGGTGGCTAAGGCTGAGAAAGCAAAGCCTTGAACAGCAGATAAAGCAGAAGGGTTCACAGACAGAAGAAGAGAGATTGGGTCAATAGATGAAGAAAGCACAGTGACATTGATTCTTGCAAGCCCCAGAACAATGAGATTCCATGACAACACCATAACCAACGGCACAACACCGCCTACAAGAATAGCTCTCCGAGCATCTGAAACCGAGTCCCCTGCGAGATTGCATATGAAAGGAGTGATGACATGGAACCCTAGCGTCAGCACCATAACAGGAACCGCAGGCAAAACCGCTGAGACTCTCCAACAAGACTGACCAAATGAGGCTAACACGTTGGACCTAGCTACAGATAAACCAATGGCTACAAGTGAAGTTATAGAGAAGAGCATGAGGAAGCAGAGACACCTGTTGGTGACATCAATGGCATCGAATGGGAAGAATCCGATCAAGATTCCGGAGACTAGAGGGAACATAGCATTGGCCAAGAATGGGTTCATGGAAGGAAACCATTGAGAGACAATGGAGCCAATACCGGAGACGCAAGCAACCATCAAAGAGAAACTCAGTGAAGCATAGACAAGAGCCACAAAGACTCCGAATTTGTTCCCGAAGGATTTGGTTGCAAGCCCTGTGAAGCTAACCTCTGCTGCATTGTCTTCTTCCATGGCTGCGAAGCTGAGCTCGGCGACGAGAAGAATGGAGGAGATTACGTAAACCCATGAACAGAGTAAAGCGATGGTCGATGGGATCGAGCCAGATCTGATTGTTGCAGCTGGGAGACCGAGCATTCCCGGTCCAACGGCGGTTCCGATGATCAAAGTAACGGCAGCCCAGAAACTCTTTCCTTTCTTCGTTTCGTGGGTAATCTCCAAATCCTTGACTTTCTGTAAAGTTTCGGCCTTTTCGTCATCGGCGAGCTCGGAAGAAACGATAGTTGACCGAAGTTCGTCATGGTCTCTGCATCTGACAGGTAAAGGTGAGTAGAGAGAGCCATTCTGCGAAATGGGTTTCCGATGATTTATGGTGAATTGCGTCGGAGGCGAATTTAGAATGTGACGACCGGCGGAAAACTTGGGAGAGCTCCGGCGAGAAGAAAGTGTACGAGGAATGGCATTTTGGGGGAAAAGAATTGATTTTGAATGTGGAGGAGATGAAGAAGAAATGGGGAGTAGGCAATGTTGGCGAAAAGGAAGAGCCATTGATGTCATTATGCGAGATTCTCTGTCAGGTGGACCTGATTTGATTTGGTTGGTTAGAAAGTTTGGATTTTGGAATCTTTGCTCAATCTGAAGGCAGTGTGTGTGAAGAGAACCTTTGTTTAGGGCTTTGTGTAAGCTGATCGATGCCAACAAAAAATCATGTCGACTCTATAAATGGTCTATTTCAGGTTTTAAATCAGTCGAACAACAATATAAAAACGGAATTTCATGTAATCATGTCAAAACGAATCTTGATAAAGGAAACTCAGTTCGATTGAAACCCAACTTTATCACCTAAAATGTTAAAACTGAAAGACAAGAATCCATCAAATCACTAAACTTGATTTGTAAGCATTCACAGAAAATAAAATCTCTTTAGCGTCCCTGTGAACATGAATATGAAGAACATACCTGAACTATAAAATAAAATTAGTCTTTATTCAGTCTGATACACAAGTATAGAAATCACCTAAAGATTTGGAAGCTTATTCAAGAATCAGTCTAGTGGTGATCAAAACTAGTATGTTTTTCTGACTTGTGATTTTCATAATCGTATCAACTAATTACAAGCAAGTTTGAGAAGCACATACCTATCATATATATTAGATCCTACTGATGCTAAATTACAACAACAATAGAACTCAAATTTGAAGACCCTCCTTCTTCCAAGAAGAAAGCTCAAGTTGATGTAGGTAGGGGAGAGGTGGAATCTCTAAGCGAAAACTTGACCAAGAAGAAAGCTCAAGTTGCAGAGACTGATGATTTCACTAATATCAAATTGTTGGAAGTTTAGCAGCTTCAAGAATGGGGTCTAAACAACTAGGAGTGTTGTAACAACGGTCAGGGTGTAATACTTTTAATTTACGAGGAAAAAAGAAACATTATGAAGGGAATTGATTTCTTAGGGAATGAAGCTCGCAAACGGTTTGCATATTGAATCTTGATAAACTCAAGTGGATTTTTTATATGTCGAACATCAGATGATATACAATGGGATTATTAATACAGTAGATAATTTTATTATTCTTCTAGAGAGAGAGAGAGAGAGAGAGAGAGGTTGGTTTACATAGATGATTTTTGCTACCAAGATTAATCAACAAGTCAAAGAATCAACTTTACTTACATGTAGATAGGAGGGGCGAGCGGGGTAAAGCCACAGGGCCCGAAACTTCTGTCTGGGGGACAAACCTTAACAACAACAATGTTCAATCCACGGACCTCACGTCCACTAAGTTGCAGCGCCGTCTCTACTCTGTCCTCCCCCCAAAGGTAAACCATGGGAAGCACAAAAGATAGCCTTCCACAAAGATAGAAATGCATACGCAGCATGCTCTCGACAACAGCCTTAGGAAGCCGAGTGTCATATCCGGTTACTACCATCGTGCGTTGCCGTGGGCTATCTGCAGCTCTCAGGGGAGCCACCTCAGGTTCAAGGTACGTTTCATGAAACGGGTAAGGCTTGGCGACTATAATCCGTCCTCCCATGTCACGTCCACTAAGTCCCAACACCCTCTCTTCTGCACCTTCTACCCGAACGTAAACGAACCCGAACCTGTTGAGAAGACCCCTCTTAACGCCTTTGGGGATATAAACATGTGTCATCTCTCCACAGGAAGAGAAGTGGTCTCTCAAAGCAAAGTTGACATCATTGGCAGGGAGCGAAGTGTCGTATCCTTCAACGCAAATCCTCCTTATGCTACTTCTCCAATAGGTTTGAGAACTCATCTTAAAGTTGCAAAAATCCAAATTTCCGAGAGGAGGCAATAATTTTCTGGGATATTAGGGTTTGCGATGTTTGTGATGATAAAATAAACCTTAAGCGCCTAGACCTCTCTATTTATAGAGTTGTGATTCTAATTTCCTTTCTTCTTCTTGTTTGCCTTTCTACATAATTTCCTCTTTGCTCATCCTTTGTTGCTTGATTTTCCTTTTTACTTGGTATCCTTTATGTTTTTGCAGAAAATAATAACAAATTAATAATCATCCTTTCAAGATATTTTTCAGTTCTCGGGATTTTACCTAAATCTCTAAAAGCGTTTATTCTAGAAGCGTCTAAATAAACATAGACTCTTTGGTGAGATCTCTCTAATAACTGCATCTTCATTAAGATGTACTAATAATGTTTTAGTCGCCAAAGTGGTCATCTCTTCTCCATGAAGTCCATATAACGGAGCTCATCTTCTTAAACATTCCAGCTGTTAAACAAAATGTTTAAGGTAGTGACATCTGGCTGCACTCCCATCAGCTGGAACCGATTATACTCGTGCCGATTAAAGACCTGATTAGAACTCATAGCATTCTTCACAACATCCTGGTAGAAGCTTAAGCATTAACCTTCATAAACGCAACAAGGGCAGAGATGTACGACGAGAAACGTCCAGGGCTTATGAAACTGGTGGAAGAATTCTACCGAGCTTGACGTGCACTAGCAGAGAGGTACGACCATGCGACTGTGGAGCTTCGCCACGCGCACAGAACCATGGCCGAGGCGTTTCAATAACCAAAAGTGCCGTTCGACATGATTAAGGATTCTGCTTCAACGTCTTGCTATGAGCCACGTACGCCTGACAAGTGCCACCTGGAGTCCAGCCGTTGTATGCCAATCACATTTTTATAACTTTAAAGAGAAATGTCACAAAAGACCATATATTTATCAGAAAGATTACCTCAAAGATCACATTTTTATAAATTCATAGAGAAATGTCACATCATCAAACAGAGGAGAAGACATTACCCAATCGTGGCAGGCGACAAGGAAATGGTCGGCGCCGGAAGTTCGGTTCCAAAAAGGGTACTTAACGGAGATCAAGTCTATGTAGTCTTTAAGAAACTTGATGAGATTGCGGTGGCTGTGAGAGTCTTGAACATATAGAGTAGCCTCGAGCATCCGGGAACTGAATGGTAAGTAGAAGAGATGAGCTTTTGAAGGGTCCTTTGTGACAAATCTGTTGTTGTTGGAATCCATAACGTTCATAAACCAGCCTTCGGATGCATAGATCCCTCTGAGTACTGGATTGTGCATTATACGTTTATCTCCTTCTTTGTACACATAAACCTTCAACATCTTCTCCATCAACTCATAGCTCCTAAAGGAATATCAATAAAACTCTCCAATTTGATGTTCAATATCAGAACAAGGCTTAATTTGATCTTACTATAATCATTTAGCTATCCAAAGAGTTTTACCTCTCTTCCTTGCATCCCAAACAAAAAAAGCTTCTCTTCAACAGATCCATCATGAACTACAAATAACCAAACAGTAACGGTAAGAGCATTAGCAAGAAGTTCAGTTGTTAAGACATAGAGCTAGAGTTAAAAAAAAGATGCTCACTTGTTTGCATCCATTTCATAGGCTCGATAAGGATGGAAGAGCATTGGACTTGTTCGGAGTTTCCACTTCTCTTTTTCCAAGCAGCATTCTTCACCTTTCCCTGGTTCATGTGTGACTATGTTTTCCTCAATAGCCACTATTCTTCTGCATTTCTTACATGAACTGAGGCTTCGGGAAAGACTCCTGCGGACAAGGATTGTTTGTCTCATTGCTTCTCTGCTATCTGTATTACATCAAAAGAAAGAGAAATTTAACACTAAACAAGTTTCAATATGATTATATATATCAAAATAGTCCAGAGGTCGTAAGAGAGAGATCTCAGTTTCTATGCATAATGAGTGTTAAGAGTAATATAAACGAGACTAAAAGTCGTACAAGTTTTGATTTTGAAGCCACCCACAAGTCCAAAAAATTTGCATAAACACAGAGCAATAATCCACAAACAAAAAGATCATATGCATTGTTAATTCTCATAAACGAGACTAAGTGTTAAGAGTAATGTAAACGAGACTAACAGTCGTACAAGTTTTGATTTTGAAGCCACCCACAAGTCCAAAAACTTTGCATAAACACAGAGCAATAATCCACAAACAAAACGATCATATGCATTGTTAATTCTCATATTCCTAGGTAAATTCTCATCGATTTACTCACTAAACCCAACACGTCCGTCCACACTGATTTAACAACCAAGAAATAGCCTACATGAAATTCAATTGCAAGAGCGTGAAAAAAACAAAAATCAGAATCAGAGGCGGAGAGAAGCATACCAACAACGGAATTAACCGTGCTCAACGACGCTTGTCGGACTCTCGTCGCTAACGACATCGGTGTTATGATTCTGATTAACCGTGCGGTTCTGATTCTCGTCGTCGTTGGCGTCATGATTCCCTCCGATCCAAAGGTTGCTGAGCATCCCAAACGGAACCCTGTCGTAGTCCAAGCGGCTATTTGTGTCGGTTTATTTGTAACCAACCAAACAGGTCCTGAATTTTCAGAAAACCACTTAATCCGACCCGGTTTCTGCAATTTCCAAATCAGCACCAACGCCACATTTGGTTTTTCACCAACGTCCTAAAATTTGAATTCAAATTTATAAAATTTATGAATATGCGCTCGCTAAGAATAACAACACTACACTTTTGTTACTTAAACAATATTAAACAAATACAATATACATAGTTTAACATCTGAAGAAAAATATATATTATGAAAGATAGTGAATTTTTATGTCTTAGATATTTTAGATTATCTACTTAAACTTCTTACATTTTTCTTTTTTAAGTACATGGTTTAGCCTTTTATCTTTAGGAATCAGATATTTTATTGACAGATGTATGCGGACTTCATTAAATTTGGTTTATTAAGTTCACTGTAAAGTGAGTACCTGAAAAATCAAAAATAAAAAGGAAATTCCTTAAACAACGACAAACAAAAAAAAAAGGAAACTTGGAGCAGTCTTCAGTCTTGTGGGATTAACTTACAATGGTAACTAATTAGAATTTAAATGTGTTTTTCACATCGACGAAGCGACCACAACAAAAGGAAATTCCTTTGACGAACATTAAAAAAAAAAGGAAATTCCTTTAACGAGCATAACAAAAAAAGGAAATTAGGGAAACTTCGGGAAGGAGTCTTGTGGATCAAGCGACGACAACAAAACCTGATAACATAATCAGGTATTGCCTATATAAACCGCAACAAGCGACCACACTCTCCACCCTAATTCGAGACTGAGAAATTCGATAACGAGAAACCATGAACAAGCAAGATTTCTTAGAGCTTTTCGAAGCAGCAATTCGAGCGGCTAAAAGCGATTCTTCTCCACAAGTGGCGAGGTGTGTCGACGCCATGAGTCGTCTGAAAGAAGCTCCCGAGTCAGTCGCTTTAGACGCTTTTCTCACCACCTCCTCCCTCGGAGGGAGACTCGCCAGAGTTCGCACCGAACACCCAAACCCTAAAATCCGATCGGAAGCAAACGATCTTCTTTACACTTGGATGCGGTACCTTTACGCCACCGGTCCAAAACGGAGCCGTCGCGATCATGTCAGAGATCGTCAAAATCTGGTGAAGGTGATTTCGACTGGTGATTCCAAGAGAGACAAAGTGCGTGAGATTCTGCAAAAGTCTCTGTCTAAAGTCGCTGACGAGGTTCATGTCGAGATGAAGAAACGAGTGGCTGATTGCGATCATTGGGATGTGGCTGTTTCGGTGGAATCTGCCATGTTTGAGAGATTAGGTTGTTTCGAGGGAAAACAAAAACCAAAATACAGATCCATCTTGTTCAACATCGGAGATAGTAATAATCCTGACCTAAGGAGGAAAGTCTTGACCGGTGTGATCAGTGGAGAAAGACTGGTGACGATGGAGGGAGAAGAGATGGGAAGTGACCAGATTCAGAAGCAAGTCAAAGAAATCAAAGAGAAAGCAAGGTTTAAAGAAGAGAATCGACTCAAGAGCATGATGATGCTTCATCAATCCGATCATATGATCATGACCTAAGTAGAGAATTAGATATTTTGTCAGTTTTATTAATCTCTTCTTGGTGTATTAAAGTAAAGTACTAAATTTGTTTTTGCAAAGTTTTGTATTTGATACTCTGTTTCATTGTTATAACAGAGATCTTTCTATAAGTACATTGTAAAGTATCATTAGATGAATAATACTATTCGATTCAGATTTACACTTTCCTTTTATGGTACAACAGAAACAACATTCACAAAGCAGAGTGAAGCCAAAAGTTAGGATCTTTCTCCTATTTTGTCCTTTTTGAGAACAACTCTGAACAGCTCTTCAGAGACTGATTTCATGTCCGGTCTCTCCGGTGCCGGCGATATACAGCTCAGAGCAATCTTCAGAACATCAGTAACAAACTCTAGAAGCTTTCCTTGAAGAACCTTGTTGTGACTCGGTGGTTGTAGGAGTAGAAGTAACAGAAGACGAAGGCTCAGTTTCTTGTACATTGGAAGGAGAAAGGTTCGGTTTTCTGCAGACTAGTCTTTTCTCCAGTGACATCCGTTCTCTCTTCATCATCATGTTGTTTCTTTAGCATATAATGAAACAAGGCAAAAACAAGAGCAAGATTCTCCTGTCTTGGAGCATCCATCCATTGCTGAAGTTGCTAAAGACGCTATAGTTGCAGAGTATGGTTTGAGATATCAAATGAATGGTCTTGAGTCGTATGCGCTTATGGCTTCAGCGGTTGGTGGAATCCTTGGACAGTTGATGCTTCTTTGTTTAAGCTTGGTTTATGATCGTTACTTGAAGACACTCCCCATGAGGCCACTGATCCATATCGTCCAGCTCCATAACGAGAAACAGAAGCGCAAACATAACAAGAATCAGTCTCAGTTAGGTCACAACTCACAAGTTTCAGATAATGACAGATAAGTTTTTGTGACCAAGAAGGATGAAGATAAAGATAGTCTCTTCCATGGATGAAACAAGATTGTCAAGAATCTTATGAATATTCCAATCAAGACGTGAATCCTTTTTACCAGATACCATAGTCATCGTTCTCGGTTTGGATACATGATGTCACCTTGTTAAAGAAACATAGAAATGTTTGGTCCAGCTTCCAGACATCCCTGAAAAAATCTCATAGCTTAAGGATCTCATAGCTTAACACTTGCAATAGCTTACTTGGGACATTGGTCCATAGGATGATAGTTCTCTGAGAAAGCTAACATGTTTTAGTGATCTGCTTCTCAATTAGGCATTTCATCAAACACGTCGTGGGTCTCATTCCGTAAAATCGCCGTGAGTGAATTGCCAAATGCCAAGAACAAAAATTTGTAATACATATATGTCCATGAACCTCCCTGTTCTGTATAACTCACCAAAATCGCCATAACTCACCAAATATCCAAACGTGTTGGATTCAAGTAATCAAATCTCGGATTAGTATTAAAAACGTCTTTCGTAGTATTTGTATTTGTGAAGGTATTTAAATCACAATTATTATTTAATTATTATATGTTTTCTACGCAATCAGCTTGTTTGAAAAAAAAAAAAATCATTTTTGAAAAAAATGTCTTTCATTTCGTTGTAACAATTTTTTTTTTGGTCACTGTAATAATATTTTTACATGCTCAGTTTAAGCCTAACTAGTTAACTTACCAATTTCAATTTTGCCAACAAACTAGAACAAGCTGAAAGAAACTCGAAATCATAATAAACCCCAAAGCCCGGATCCAGCTCGTGACCCGACTCATTCTCGGATACTCGGTTCATTCGGAAAAATGAGTGCTGTGCTCCCGTTTCCAGACCTCAATCTCATGCCGGATTCCCTAGCCTCCATCTCCTCCTCCTCCGCCATCGGAATCACCGCCGGAGAGTTACCGGTTCCGAAGCTAACGGTTAAGGCGGAACCAATTGAGGAATGTCAAATTCAAAACCCAAGCGAGAGCATCTCTCTCCATGGAGCTTTCTCTGACTCCAATGTCACTCCTCCGCCGCCTTCATCTTCCTCCGATCAATCCGCCAACTCCAATCTCTACGCCGAGTACAATCGCGTCTCTAACCTTTTCTATTCGGCATTCGGCAACCAGGGATTCAACGAGTTCCTCCCAACTAATTCGGTTTCCGGCGCGATCACCGCCGTACCAGACAACCAAAACCACCTGCCATTGGCGGTGCATGCGCCACCGGAATGTTGGGGTAACCGCGTTTCCACCAACGCCGTCTCGTCTCGTCCTACTCCGCAGAAACTCCGAAGACCGCAAGAGCTCGGGAGGATTGTCAATCTAGGGCACGAGCAGCAGAAACACCACCGAGAACTCGTGAAACGAACCCGGATGACCTACGAGGCTCTCCGGATTCACATCATCGCGGAGGAGATGCGGCGCAGTCCCCGCCGCAAACCCAGAGCCGATACCAAGGCCGCGACGCTGATGAAACAGCGCCAATTGTGGCTGAACCAAACGAGACACATCGTGGGCTCAATCCCCGGAATCGAGATCGGCGACATCTTCTTCTACCGCGCGGAAATGTGCGTGTTGGGGTTACACGGCCAGCCACAAGCCGGAATCGACTTCTTAACCTCTCAGCGAAGCTCCAACGGCGAGCCTATAGCCACAAGCGTTATCGTCTCAGGCGGTTACGAGGATGATGAAGACACAGGAGAGGTTGTGGTGTACACAGGTCACGGAGGTCAAGATAAGTTCCATAGGCAGTGTCAAGACCAGAGGCTAGAAGGTGGGAATCTAGCAATGGAGAGAAGTAGGCACTATGGTATTGAGGTACGTGTGATTAGAGGATTGAAGTATGAGAACAGTGTTAGCGCCAAGGTTTATGTGTATGATGGTTTGTATAAGATTGTAGAGCATTGGTTGGATCCAGGGAAGTCTGGTTTCAGGGTTTTTAAGTTTAGGCTAGTGAGAATTGAAGGGCAGCCAACGATGGGTAGTGTGATGATGAAGTTAGCGGAAAGACTTAGGAAGACTCCGTTGGAGGTTAGGCCTAATGGGTATATAAGGTGGGACAAAGCTTGCGAGAAGGAGAATGTTGCTGTGTATCTGTATAATGATGTAGATGGTGATCAAGAACCGTTGTACTTTGACTACCTTGCGAGATCTATCATCACTTCTGCTCAGGGAGTGAGTGGCTGCGAGTGTAAAGGCTCTTGCAGTAGTGATGATTGCTTTTGTGTGAGGAAGAATGGTGGTGAAGTTGCTTATGATGATAATGGTGTGCTTTTGAGAGGAAGATCTGTGGTTTTCGAATGCGGGGGGTCGTGCAAGTGCGGTCCGAGCTGTAAGAACCGTGTGGCGCAGAAGGGGTTGAGGCATAGACTTGAGGTGTTCAGGTCGAGGGAAGGAGGAGGTTGTTGGAGTGTGAGGACTCTCGATGTGATCCAAGCAGGTGCTTTCATATGCGAGTACGCAGGGATTATTCTCACGAGAGAGCAAGGCGCGATGATGTCGATGAACGGGGATGATATGATTTATCCGGGTGGGTTTATAGCAAAGTGGAGGAGCTGGGGTGATTTGTCTGATGTAGGTGTTGTTAAGCCGGAGTATCCGTCTCTGCCTCCGTTGGATTTCGTGATGGATGTGTCGACGATGAGGAATGTAGCGTATTACATTCGTTATAGTAGAGACCCGAATGTGATGGTGCAGTTTGTGTTGTATGACCATAATGACTTGAGGTACCCTCGCGTCATGCTTTTTGCGATGGAGAATATTGCACCGTTGACTGAGCTTAGCTTGGACTATGTGTTGGCCGATGAACCGAAGGCGAAGGGGAAGCTGCTCGCAATCTGTAACTGAGTTAGCTTCCGTAGCTTGGCTTGTTTGAATCTGTATTTTTTGTTTAGGTATTACAAAAGATAGCTCACCGGGATGCTTTTAGCATGAGGTAATTTCTCATATCTTTTGTTATAGCATTCTTAGTGTCTGCACCGTTTTGTGTGTTTGCATTTATGAATGAATCAAAACCATGTTCTCATGCCAAAGCGTCTTGGAACTTTCTTGAGCATTTTGTCTGTATATGTGCTCTTTGTTCTTAGTACTATGAGTATATGAGACTAATCTGTTGCAACTATGATGCAGATGGAGAAAATTTTGACAAAGGCCTTTCTCTGCTCGTTCGCTTTTCTGTCTTGCCATCTTTCTGCGTAACGGGAGGCATTTTTGGGGGTAAAGTTCTGTAAAGGATTCTTGTATAATAGCTGTTGAATATTGTTTTTCTTCCTTTATCTTTTTGCCTTTTGTTCTGCAAGTTGAATAGTTGATCAGTGTCAAGTGTCAACAGCCAAATATTTTATCTGATATTTTGGGTAGTGTTATCATTTCTTGAGCAAATGTTTGTGATTCAGTACTAAAGCATTCACTGGCACAGTCTCTTCTTACATGAAATCAACTTTAGAGAAAGAACAGACTTATGATTCAAACACTGATTACTGAAATCCTGCCTAGTGTTGATAGAGTGACTCCTCCAGATAAGTAACAGGCGGCGGAGGAATCTCGTTGTAAATTGGATCAGAATGTAATACTTTTTTGGGTAAAAATAATACTTGACTGTGGACCAAAAAAATGTTGAAACAAAATTGCACCAGCCGGGAATCGAACCCGGGTCTGTACCGTGGCAGGGTACTATTCTACCACTAGACCACTGGTGCTTGTTGCCTTTTTGATTCTTATACATAAACAGAACTGAAACAAACATCATATGGCTCTGTTTTTTGTTTCAAAACAGAGGTACGGATTTAAGACATGGAGAAGAAAGAAGATTCTCGCAGTCTTTATAATTAATTCAAATAGGATGAAGGGACGATTTTGATTGGTTAGTAATGAATTCAGTTTATATTCCGTTGAAATGCTACTATCTGACGAAACTACCCCTTGTTGTACGTTCGTGTCTTCCTGATTGCTTTAACGTTGAAATATATGATCTGACGGATTTGCCCATGGCAAAAAAGGAAATAGAAGAATCTGACGACGTAATTTCCATTTTTCAGTCCTACTTTGTTTCGAAGAGTGGGTGTCACGGAAGCTTCACTACGCTCTATATAAACAATATCTGATACTCTCCATCTCTCTCTATCTTATTTCTTGTTTTGATTTCTATTTCTAAAAGTTCGAGAGTGAAACCCTAGTTTGGCAAATTCTTTCTCTAATAAATTCAACAACTTTCTTTCGGAGGTAAACAACACCTGAAGATGATGGCGATTGCAACTCAGAGATCCGGTTTCGATTTTGACCGTCTGGTGTGTGCTGCACTTAAAGACTCTAAATCGAACACCATCGACGGTGTCGAGAGATGTTTTGATATCCTGCGATACTTGAAGCGTTTGAATCTCTCTGTCAAAGATGTAGTTCGCCATTCTAGTTCTATACATTCTCTGCAGATTCTGAGAGATCACGAAAACCCTAGGATCCGAAACGGAGCTGTCGTCTTGTTCACCTCCTGGATGAAAACCCTTTATTCCCGCGGAGGAAACCCTTCTTCTTCTGATTGCAACAAAGCTATTCCCCTGACTCTGAAGAAATCTGCAGATGTTGTCAAACTATGTTCCGAGTCGAAGAAGAAACATCATCCGACATCTCATGCTATTGCGACAGAGGCTAAGCAAAAGTCTGAATCTTTGGGGTTGCAAAAGAATGAAGATGAGATATCTCGGGCTATTGAAACCAAAGAGATCAAACGGAATTTGAAGAAGCCTGACGTTTGCAAGTCTGTTCCAGCAAAATCAAGGCCTCGCGAGATGAAAAAGCAGCCGCCTTTGAAAGATTCTCAAAACCCTAAATACTGTCCAGCCGTGAAGAAGAACTCAACGGAGATGTTGGAGCTGTTCGAAATAGCAAAGAAATCAGCAGATGTGGCCAACACAAAGGGAATTCTCTTGGCCAAAGCAGAGACATCAATCTGCGTGGAGACTCTCTCTTTACTCATCAGTTTCCCCATCAGCTCAAGAGCTCCTGAAACAAGGCGGATCATGGAGAGGCTTTCACATCTGACAAGGCACAAAGACCGCAAAGTCTGCAACTCTGCATCTGCGCTTCTTCAACATTGGAGCCAGAGCATCAGAGATCAACGCCAAGATTCCAAGACCAAAGCGAGGAAATAGATATAGGGATCTGTTAAGAGAGGCAGTGTTCGTTGACAGATTAGTGTAATAGGTTACAACTTTAAGAAGTTTAATTGATAATTTTTTAAGTAATGTTTGAGTTGTAAGTACAGTATGATTTCTATGATTTTTCATCATCTATTTGTTTTTGTCTCATGTTTCTGAAACCCTTTTTTGATGTGGACATAGAGACAATTCTTCTTGGATGAATCAGAGCAACAAACTCAAAAACATAAGCCTTATAAAAGTGTAATAAAAGTAACAAAGAGCATTCTCTATAAGTAAATTGCTGGAAATAAAGAGCATTCTCTTCCATAGCAAGTCTTCATATATGAATATGATATGACTTCGTTTATCCACATTAAACTGATTTTAATCAGTAGTGAGTAGTAGGATTTACATTTAAAAGGGAATCTTGTGAATGTCTAGTCTGGTATAGAATTCTTGAGTCCTGTATACTATTATAGTCTCTGAATCTCTTTTGCCTTCACTTGATCCAGTTTGTCTTAACAGGAGGCTGAAAAACGAAGCCGTGGGTCAAGAAACTAAAGGCCATCATCAGCCAAAAGAGAGATTCAACTGAAGAGAACAAGAGTTACAAAAACTAGCATAAACCTCTTTCTTACAACATACACACACACACACACACACACACTATTTACACAAATCACTCTCTGTTTCTACATTTTTCTTATTATTATTAAAACTGTCCCATCTTGAATCCAGAGACATAAACAATCTAACTGGATCTGCTTCCTTGTGCTTATCAGGTCCAACCTATCTTGACAAACCACTTTGTCCTGTATGAAGCAAAAACGTGAGCTATTACCAATCCAAACAACAATCCAGGCCCATACCCTATTACCACTGCTTTTCCAGTTTAACACTCGTTCCTCTTCTTCTTCTTCTTCTTCCTCCTCAGGCTGTTTCTTTGCGCCACCAAAGCAACTTCCTTGGAGAGGAAGACCACAAAGACCTGTATTCCCTTCAAATGAAGATGCAGCTTGTCCACTAAACTGTGGTCCTTGTGGTATTTCACCTTTGAGTTGGTTATGAGCCACACTTACATACGCCAAAAACGAGAGGCTCCCGATTTCTCTAGGAATCTCCCTTGATACTTTGTTTCTTGAAAGGTCTAGTGACTCCAGCTCCGTAACATTCGCTAAAGACAGAGGAATATGTCCTGTGAAAGCGTTGTTCGATAAGAATGCAATCAATGCCTTCAAGAGACCAATGGATTCAGGAAACTGTCCTTCAAGTTTGTTTCTTGAGAAATCAATGGTACTGTAAGAAGTAAGAACCTTTCCTAGCTCCATGAATAGACCTTTGTATTGCAAATCCAAAGTATCTTCATAGATGTAATAAGCATTCTTGTAGTCTCCCATATACATTCGCCCATCTTCATTTATCTCGAGTGATGATGCTTTCCAGTTGACCACGAAACTCGGTGGCAAGCTTCCGGTGAATCTGTTATCCGATAGTTCAAGTATCCGCAGCTCGGGAAACGCCAGAGGAAGAAGAAGAAGAAGAGGAGGAGTTGGGAACTTCAAGAAGACCAGTGAGGTGATTCTGTTTCAAATTAAGATGAGACAAGAAGTGCATAGAGGCTAATCAATCAGAATGTATGGTTTCTGAGAACTGATGGGAAATGTATGGTTTCTGAGAACTAATCAATCAGAATGTATCAGAAAGGTCTAAAAAAGAGAGCTTTGTTAGGTTTTTTACAAATGGGAAACTACCAGACAGCTGGTTGTGTGAAAGGTTTAAGTAGGTAAGAAATATTAGGTTACTTATTGAGGAAGCAACTTGACCAGTGAAACTACTAAAAGCAAGAGACAGAACCTCCAATATGTTGAGATTGCTGAACTCTGAAGGTAACGAAGAGGAAGTGAAGTTGTTGTGTGAGAGATTAAGGTAACGAAGGTGGTGAAATCCAAAGAGAGTACTATTTGGTAATGAGATGTGTTTATTCGAAATGTCTCGCAGCATCTTCCGAGTCATTTCATGAGGTCAAATGGCATCAGTAAGCCCGGTAAGATAACTCTGTTGGGTAGAAGCGGTATGAAGTGGTTTGCATATTTTCTGTCAAAAGATGGAACTGTGGCTTTGGGAAATGGTTGGAAAGGTTTCTGTGAGGCTAATGGCATGATGGTAGGAGAATCTTTCATTTTGGAATTCATTCACAAGAAGACACAAATCTTGTACTTAAGTTTTGCTCCTACTTCGGACTTCGGAGACCAAACCAAATACATACTGTAAATGTTTTTAACGAGTAAATCTTTTCAAATGTTTTCACGACAATTCTGCATTATCAGCTTAGGGTATATATGACTAATGTATATGGAATCGACTTGGTTGGATCATGCATGGGTGTATTGGTCTGTTTGGTTTGGGGAATACACCTGTTTGGTTTTCAGTTTTAGTAATATATATACATATATGCGTGTGTCGATATAAACAAAAGTTCTGTTGTAGCACACTGGTTAAATCTTCTTGAAAGTGGAAATTCCGGGTTCGAAGCCCGGCAGCGGAAAATTATTTTTTATACATACTGCATGGAAACGCAGTGTATAGTATATATAAATGCATGTGTAAGATTTATCAAAAGTTCCGTTGTAGCACACAGGTTAAATCTTCTCAATTGAATATTCCGGGTTCGAAGCCCGGCAGCGGAAAATTATTTTTTTATGCATTAACGCAGCGTATTGATCAATGATCAATAAGAAAAGATAGAGAGAAGACGCTTTCGGACGTATATAACACATGCCAGATCGAAGAAGTGGATATTTTGGTCCTTTGGACCGTTGGACGTATAGTATAAGAGTATAACACACCTTCACACTTATTAGCGTAACAGCGAGAGTAATGGCATTAATCTGATTTATGGATTGGAGAAGACTTGGCCAAATTTTCATAGGGAGTTACTTACACTACTGACCGCTGTAGGCAAACAAAGAAGAATTTCTGACCACTGATTTTTGACATCTAACAAAGCACAAAGATCGCAGAGTCTGCAACTCTGCATCTGCGCTTCTTCAACACTGGAGTCAAAGCATTAGAGATCAACAACAGAAAGATTTCAAGACCAAAGCGAGGAAAGAGACTATATAGATCTATGGGGCTTGTTAGTGACAGCGTTCGTTGACATACAGTATTAGTCTTGTTCAATTTAAGAAGTTTGACTGTTAAGGAAAGTTTTCAATTGTAAATTCAGTATGATTTCTCATCATCTATTTGATTATTTTTTTTGTTTCTCATGTTTCTGAAACTCATAGAGACGGTTTCTTCTTGGATGATCAATCAGAGCAAACTCAAAAACAAAAACCCTTAAAACGATATTAGATAAAGCTTCAAATATTTACAGTGTAGTAAAAAGAAATAAAGAGCATTCTCTTCCATAGTATATGACCAAACCTCAACCGGAAAATAAAAGACAGCCAGAAAAACTAAAGAAAAAACCATTAGAAGAACCAAGAAACATACACAAACTAGATAAGATCAATACTAGTTTCTGTTATCTTCCTTATGCTTGCTTCAGAACTATCTCAGACTTGCAAAACCCAAAAATAAAGAAAAACTGTAACAACAACGTAGTAGTGTCGAAAAGAGACCTAAACCGGTTGCTTTCTTTGTCTCTCGTTCGGTTCTTGATTTCTTGCAGCTGCATACACATTTCAAGATGTTTTAGTCCAAGATTTCTCTTCAATGTCTTGACAAAAACAAGAAGAGAAAAGTCTACTTACCGAGTCCATTAGCTTCAGAGGTTTTCATCACTCGAAGTCTCTTCACCGAGGTGACAAACATTCTAAACACACAAAACAAGAAAACAATTTAGATCTTCAGAAACCATTCATCAGATTCTAAGTGGTGATATGATCTATTACCTCCATGGGACATCACCAACAAGCATCCAATCTCCTTCTTTATCTTCATAAGTAAGTACAAACTCAGACGATCCATCTAAAAGCCTCAACGGTTTAGTGAACTGACTCGTTAACCCGATAGTTCCCGGATTCGTGCGAAAGAACATGTCTTGGAGTGTCTGAGCCAAGTTCTCGTAAGAAGAATGAGCATTCAAATCAACTTTTCTTCCTATAGCAACTCCATCCATGTTCACTTTAATAAACCCAACTTGCACTTTCGCGTTCACTTTCTTTGTCACATCATCTTTAGTCTCATCATCTTTCACTTTCTTCTTCCCAGCTTCTTCTTCTTCCTTAGCAGACTTTGTTGCTTGGTTGTTGACCAAACTGTTCATCCTGTGAGACCCAATCGGAGGCCATCCCACAACTTGACTGCTACAAACAAACCAAACATCAATCAGATTTCAACTTTTTGAGATTCCTAAGTCAAAAAAAAACAGAGCCTTTCTTCTTCTTTCAGAGCTCATAAACAAACTCTGTTTCTGAGAATAGCAATTTCACATCAAGCAAAACACTTTAAAAAGGATTCGTCTTTGAAAGAGTTCAAATTTCTATTTCCCCTGAAACCAAAAGCTTTAAAAGACGAACCTTGAACGAGGAGGAGAAGCACCAGCGTGAGAGGAAGAATCAGCAGCTCGTTTAGAGCCAACAGAAGGAAAATCCTTAGCAGTCAAAAGCCTCCCACGCTCTCCCCACGCGCCGCCGACACCAGCACCACCTGATTTACCAATCTTCGCCGCCGTTCCACCGCCGAGGCTGAGCCGTAGACCGAGCTCCAGCTCACTCTCACCTTTCCCCATCTCGAGCTCAGTAATCATTTGGACAGCACAAGAAAGAGCCCTGAGAATCCAAAATCAAGAAACCGAAAAAGAGAAGAGAAAGAAAGAAAAGGGAGAGTCTTTTTGAAGTCAAGGAGGAAACCTGGGAGTGCAAAATCGAAAGGAGACAAAAGAAAGAGAGGAGAGAAGGAAACAAGAAAACAAACAAACAGAAAGAGACAGAGTGAGGATTTTAAGGGGTTTTCTTGAAATCTGGAAGAGAGTTGAGAATTGAGGGAGAAGAAAAGGAGAAAGAGAGAGAGAGAGAGAGAGAGGATTAGGTGGTGGAGAGAGTGATGAAAAATGGGACCCATATGTCTGGTAGTGGCCATACCAACAACAATACCATTCCTTTTTATTTGTTTTTTCTAATTTAAATTTTTTAACTTTTCTTCCCGACATTATCAAACTTGTCGTGCTCCAGTTTGCGTTTTTGTTTTCTCTTTTGTTGTGTTTATAAACGATAAACAAAACAAACTTATACTAGAAAACAGTTGGCTGTGTGTTATATGATTTGTGGAAAGCTTTGTTCAAACATCACACTTTCTTTTCTATTTTTGCAAGAATTTGTATTCGTTTTGATGATCTCCATTTATGAAGCTTGCTAGGCTTTATCATCATCGTGTACATGTGTATAGCTAGCTAGTTTTGAAAAAAGTTGAGTTGGGATCAGTATATATGAAGATAGTGGAGATGCAAGTGTTAAACTTTCATTGGAACTAATTAATCATCTCAAAATCTAGATTAGTCTTAGAGTATGTGGTCATCAGTTATATTATTATCGTTTGATATTGAATATTGAAGACTAGTATGCATATAGAATATGTTTCTTACGAATTCTGATATTTTAATTTCGATAAAAATGAAAACAACGCTTAAATATACTCCTTACTTCACTAATCAATATAGTTTTGAACAGAAGCTATGTTTCCATTAAATAATTTATAGAGATGCCCCTTTTTTTTCTTGGAGGACTATGATGATGGATGTCAAATAAAGCGAGGAAACAAAAAAATGGGTGCACAATAGGAATTATTAAATAAATAGTGGTGATGAGATTATTCATCATCATGTTTCTTGATATGCTATGATGAGTCTTTGAAAACTTTTTCATCGCAATTGATGTGTGGAAATTTCTCTTTTGATCAAAATCATGACTATATCTATATGACATTATGATAACATATATTTCATACTCTATCGATGGATTTGTTGATTAAAACAAAAATTAACATTTTGAAAAAACAGAATTATAATTCAATGTAAACTTTTTTTGGATCTTCAACTATAAAAACAACAAAAGTACGGTTTATAGCAAAAAAAAATAGCAAAGTAGCAAACTCGCTATTTTTTTTTTCTTAAGCTATTTCTTACTGATATTTTTCATGTTTTTCCTTTGCAAAAGTTTAAAACTTAAAACCCTACAAAGTTTTTAAAAAATAAATGTATAAGAATTGTCTTTTATTTCCCATAGAAAATCAGGACACCTGAACTCTTCAAAGCGACGTTTTCTCTCTGTTCCAAGCACTATCAGTTAGTCAATATCAAATATTTGATTCACATGTTTTCACGATATATACGTTTGTTCTAGAACTGCGTGTGGTTTTAATATTCTCGTATTTTTCTTCTACTTATTTTTGCAATTTTGTTCACTTAGTTTTTTTATTTGTTCTTGGGCTATCAGTGTCGTTCCTTTATAGGACAAAAGGCACGAACATTGCTTTAACTATAAAGTCGAAACCCAAGTGGGTTGTGGGGTTGTCTGGAAAGGTAAAATAAGAACATAGATTACGAGAAACAGTTTCTAAATGTATACATTTAATCATAAATAATCCGCATGAAACTCCTTTCGTTTTCGACAGAATTTTATTTTTATATATAACTTGCGAAATAACATAATCACAGTACAAACAACAAACATCAGGTTAACAAAGTTGATGGATATATATGATCTAGGGTTGATCGTACTCTTGCTAAAGTATATTATATTCAATATATATACTGAAATTTCAAGAAAGTAACATATATAAATCCCTGAATTTTAATACCCAAAATCTTATATCGATCGTTGCATTATGCCTATAGATTTTCTTTGTACAGTGTATTAATCAAAATTCCTTGCAATCTCTTTTAAAATCTACTGAAAAAAAAAACTCGTGCTTCATACTTCAAATTTAAATTACCATATTAGAAGTGTTTTGCCTAGACTTCACCGAGTGGTGTCGTTGTGAATCCAAGTTTGCTAATCTTATACTATAGTTGGATACTCCACAATAATCTCTAGCAAGATCCATCCTCTTCATACATATCTGGAAATGGAACTATGACTAATATAGAGGCGTTAAAGTTGCATTTTACCCAATCTATGGTGATTGTAGCCAACAAATGGTTGAAGGAAGGTAACGTGAGAAGCAGGTTGAGTTGTCAAAGCCGCATACACTACTTGCATATATACTATTTAAAATATACTGAAACTTAGTGCTGATGTCTCGAGTATTAAATTCTTTGAAGTACCGGCAAAAAGAAAAATCATAAGACTTCCACAAGTGCATGATAATGTTGATAAGATATAAGCTGATATTTAAGAACCAAGCCACAATGTTTAGGTATATAAACGAATGAATCAATTGTTTTTTTTTTAATTCCTCATTAATTTATTAATTGCGTGCTTGCTTATAATTTTATTTTTTTTTGTATTGAATGATCTGTCTCTTCTTTCTTATTTGCGTCTGCATTGATGATCTTCAGTCCTTTATGAAGTGCTGACGAAAAGAAGAAAAGGATTGAAGCCCTTAGCCTCACGATCGAGAGTGTTAGTTTTTGAAAAGGATCTGAAATCTGTCTAGTGTTTTGGACACACACACACACACACATACACACAAAAATCTATTTAGTGTTCGTGTGTGTTTCAACTTTCAACTAATCAAAGTTCTATATACCACAAATCATTATCGATCTAATGTACCGTAAATTGTTTTCTTGAGATCATACAGCTACTTGAGAGTCAGTATCATTTGGAATCATAAGGAAAAGACAAAAGGAAATTTCATGATATATAATTTGTAATCGAATGGTGAGGATTTAAATGATGGAGATGACTCACGCTTGCAAATATGAAATATAGATAGATATACTGATAAAGTATAAACATTCGAATAGGCATTCCAAATGACTCCACGCATCTCTCCGGTGTGTGTGTGTGTATATACAGTATGTGTTTGATTTGATTGATCTTGTAATTCCACTTGTAACACATACTATTCTAAGAATAACTATACTGTATATGATAAAGTATGCGTTTGTAAAAGTATTGTATACTGTAAAGTAAGATTACGCACTAGTCATGATTTTAGAAAGTGATAAATTGTTAATACACTTTCGTTTTATTATGACTAGGTGATAAACCCGCGCGTCAATGCGCGGTAAATAAACATTTTGAATTAAATATTAAATTACTACTCTATAATATTATGCATTTTAAAATAATGCATTTTATTTTACAATACACAACATATATGAGTTTTCAGTTAGACAGATTTTCTTTCATTTTTATGAAGCTCAAAATTAATTCAAATATAATCTATTTGACCCTTTACTTGATTGTGTGATATGAACCATTAAGCCAAACATAGCATTAGAAATGAACCATACGTAAGAAACATAACTGAGCGAACTATGTCTGGGTGAGTAATGAAGGTATGTTGAACCTTAACTTTAAACCTCCAACTTCGCAACAGTGTCGAGTTGTGATCAAAGAAAGAATCTTCAATCATATAAGCATGTTTCATATCCATTAGCTTCTTACACGTTCAATCAATTTTAATTTCCTTGATAATGATGTTTTCATATATTAGGTAAGTAATAAATCTGAAAAACCTATTTTGTAATGCTATGCGCCTTTTCATAATTGAATAACCAGCCAAACTAAGGCCACGACTTACACCTTTTGGTTATGTGTTCTAATAAGTCTAAATCATGTTCTTCTCTTACCATTCTCTGTTTATTAACCATTAATTTTTTTTCCTAATTATAAAAAAAGGATTTGACTAAATCATAACTGTTCATGTTCATAGGATTCATGGTAGAGTTTCAAGGATATGTACTGATTTAGAGGATTACAAAATCTGATGTTTACTACTACAAGATCTATATATAATTTTTAAAAGGTACCAATTCTTAGTTTGGATTTTTGAAAGAAGATTAGTTCGAAGAACATAGCAAACGACAGTTTTTTTCTCTTGATTGCATCTTTATCATATACCTTTAAAAAAGCTTAGTTCGAAGAAAATATAGCAAAGGACTCACTTTTTCTCTTGATTGCATCTTTTATCATATACGGATATACCTTTTTGGTGAAATCAAAGTCATCAAATGAAATTTTTTGCAACCTAGTCTTGCCATTCATTAAATTGAATCAGTTTTTCTTATCTATAAAAAATGGTAATTATGCGTACCAAAATGGGGTTTGTTTCTATATAGGTGCTACTTTATGTTTAAGCTCTATTGCGTTTGCTTTGCTTCTGCCCTTTTAGTATTTCTCTTTTCTTACTTGAGATACCCATTGGTATGTATCACAATTCACAACTTTATTTTTGAAGTATCAATATATCCAACGTTAAAAAACTAACATTAACATGCCACAATAGTGTTCTTTTCATTATAATATTGGCGTGAACAACGACAAAAACCTAATGACACCGATTAAATCAATGCCAGGTCTCCCTTTTTTGTAGCCCATAAGAGAGCTACTGAAAATATAAGAGAGCAGATTGTATATCTCTATAGTATATTGCTTTTCTCGTTTTTCCGCAGAAAAAAAAGACTCCAATCCTAATCCATTTAAAAACAATAATAAGAATCATGCATTCTTAATAACAAAACACCAGTCAAAGAAAAAACACTCGCTTTTGCTTTCTTTCTCCTCTCCTCTGTTGTTTTATCTTTAACAACAAGCAAAAACAGAGCAGAGGATTTGTAGGAAAGGGGCAAAATGGTGGTTCCATCAGCAGGCTATTCCCGGTTTGCAGCCAAGTGCTCCTGCGTCCATTATGAGTTTACGGAACATTGTTCCCGGTTTAGAGCTGATCAACATAGACGTAATGTTCTCTCGGTGTGAGTTCCTAATGTAACCTTACACTTGACATGTGAGAAGAAAGGCATGTTTTTGTCAAAATGTCTACGCTTTGGAGGGATTAAAAGCCAGCAAAACTCACAAGAATTTCTCGTCCAAAAGCCCTAGTGCTGACATAAGCCTAAGATCCAGGAAGCATACCCAACCAGCTGCAAAAACAGTTTCATTCGCCCTTATCAAGTTACAATCAAATGCAAAACAAATTGAATCAACTCCTGAGCATAAGGAAATATCATAACAAGTTGCATTAACACAGGCCTACCTTCCAAATACATACGGCGCAAACTTCATACGTAGATGTCACACTGTAAAGGTAATTGCCCTGAACCCATTTTTCACCAATCGCTTTGTCAATGGCGAGGAACTTCTTGTTGCCTTCAACTAACTTTAGTAATCCGCTCTCGTGCAAAGTATGTGGCAATTAGGAAAGCAACAGTAGCACCCATCTAACACAAGTAAAAAAAACAAAATTAGACAACCAAACGTATATATGAACATGTGAAAGTTTGAGTTTTCTGTGTTCTAAGAGAATAGCTTACTGTTCTACTGATAAAAACTATAATGGTGCCAACGACAAGGACCGAAGAGAAGACCAGACGACATCGTCAATGGGAGAACCGGCATTGCTAGTATCTAACCAGAAAGCAGAAAGAAAGAAAACAAAAAGCTTTAAACTGTGGCTATACGGCAATGAACAGCGCATACCCAGCCGGACCATAAACTGGTTTTGGTTCAAGAATGAAACTGATCAACAATGTATATTCATTGTTACCGGTTTAGGTCGAATGAAAAACTTGTTTGAAAGCGAGTTTTTGGGTTTAGGTCACACATTTGGTTTCCCTGAATACACGAAATAATCTCCATTGATGAAGTAGTCTCCTTCTGATTTACATTGGGGAAGATGTGTACCACTTGTATACGTGCATTCATGAATCATGAGGAAGATGTGTTGATGAATTTTTATTTGTTCTTTCACGAAAAAAGTGGTGCAATGTACAAAGTCGAACCAGCGACAAAGATCGAGAAACTATCGATACAAGTGAACAAAGACACGATTCGATTAAGAAATAAATAGTTCTTTGTTCACAGAAATTATTCATTCAAAAAGAAGAGGAGCAAATTTACTTACATCACTATATTAATTTTGTGGATTCCGCTTTTGTAACTTTTGTTGACGAAATTGTAATTCTAATACCCTAAACAAAAAGACAAGCGAATTCCGTTTTTCTATCAAGAACAAACGTAGTGCAGCGATGAGTGATGTAGATAGTAGACACATTCATCATCTTCCATGCTACATAATGTATGGACCCGATGTCAATTTTTATATTGTTGTCGTTCTCAAACATATCCTTCGTAGGACGTCGTTGGTCCCTCCTCCTTTGTTCTGGTTACGTGGCTTCGCCTACTTAACTTTAAGGAATGGAAATAGAGAAACTGATACATAAATTTCATAACGATTAATGGAAATCCTTTCTGTTCGCTGTTTGCCGTCACCTAGACCACACCATGAAATTTGACAGCGGTGAAATCGGAGAAAGGCTAGATATCGAAAATGAGAGTTTTTTTGTGCAAATCTAGAAAGAGGGATACGTTTTTTTTGTCAGCGGAGAAATTTGATTTTAAGCAAAACTGACGGAGAAAATCTGCTGAAGTAAGAATAAGGATTTATAGAAGCAACAACTACGATGATGGAAAGATGCGACTCTGGATTAAAAATGCGACTCTGGATTTGCAAATTTTACGGATGCGTTGATTGGGGAAGGAAGCAAAAAAGACGCCGTTTCTTTTCTTAAATTGATGACGTGAGATCCGTTTAACATAAGCAATCATATCCATTAGATTACATAATCAAAACAATCTCAACCGTTGGATGCAATTTGTTTTTTCCTACAAAAAATGCTGACATCATCGAACACAAAAAGTGGGTTTGCTATTATATATTGATATGCTTAAAAGTGAGAGTTTTTCTTTGGATTGTATAGCATCCGATTAAAAATCATATGATACTGAAGAAACTTTACAGTCAAGCTTCAAACATTATAATTTGTAACAAACTAAACTAAGGAACTTACTCAACATTTGGTATTTATATTTGCTTTTTGATATATTTTGTCAATGACATTTAAAAGAGGATGGTACAAATTATTCACATTTTTTTTTCCATTCACAAAAAAAGAAAAAAAAAATTAAAAGAATATGTGTCAGTCTACAATTAATTTTAATGTAAATAATTAATCACAAATAACTCAAATCATCAGCGGCCTAAGCGGAGGCCAAGCGTGGACGTTTGGACCCACTTTTCTTTTTTGACCCGTCAGGATCCGACCCGCCTCCACAGACGAAAGTGCATTCCACGCCGCAGATATTACTGAAACATGAGAAAAGGCCGTTCCCTCCTTCAGTGTGACGGCGGTTATGCTTCTTCTTCACTGCCGGCGTTTTCCGTCTCGAGCTTTTTCCACCGCCTCCATTGGCCGATGCGGGAACAATCGCGCTCCCTACATCGCTGCTTTGGTGACTCGATCCGAGATCGTAAAGCGGCGGAAGCTCCGTCCGCCACCGCTCGAGTTTCGATCGCAGGCCTTCGATGTTGCTGTCGTCGTCGAGGCTCCATTCGCTGAGGATTGAACTCTCGGTGTCGTTCGCTTGTGATCTCTCTTTCGCCATCTTATTCGCTACTTCTGAAGGCGACGGACCTAACTCCGATTCCGTTAAAATCGGCCGTCCTGCCAAATTAGATCTCATCGGTGTACCAAACTGCATAGGTGATTTCATCGGCGTGGCCATGTAATTCGATCGAATCGGAGCCGAGCCGACGATGTTGGATCGTAAAGGAGTCGATCTAACTCCGGTGGACCGTATTGGACTTGATGCAACCATGTTAGATCTCATCGGAGTAGAAGCGACGATGTTCGATCTAAACGGCGTCCCGTGCCTCGGCAAGTACGGAGAAGCCCGGCTGCTGCTGCGGTCGTACTCCCTCGGCGGCCTTGGTTTCTCGATCATCGGCGTTGATCTTCTCGAAGTTTTTCGTGAATGTTCGTACGAACGAAACGGCGACTCATCGTATCTCTCACTCCTCGGCCGCATCACATGGTGGTTATCCGATTGATCAACGAAATCTAGCTCGTACGAATCGTATCTCTGCCCCGGAATATGCGGGGTTTTGTACGGCGGATCCGGTTCGTAATCCGTCTCCTCCGAATCCGTCGTCGTCGTGTGATGTCCCGACGTTGTAGGCACAGTATCCGATACACTGCTCGCCACCGCGCTCACAGGCTTTCTGTTAGCCAAACGGCTCCGCTCAGCTCTGCTTAACAGATCGGAAACAACCATCGAGCTTGTATCGCTTCTCGTGCGGCGGAGCATCGGCGGTCTCGAGACTACGGATTGGAACTGTTTCGAAGCCGGAGATTGCGGATTCTTCGAGCTGCCTTTGAAGCTATTGAGATGCAGATTCTGCAGATGCGGATCATCTTCCCCAAGCAAATCTCTGTAACCAACTGCAGACGAGTCCATGTTCGTGTAAAGCGGCATACTACGCATGGATCCGTCGAGAATCCCAACGCCGATGTTCAAAATCCCCTGAGGACGACCGGATGGTCGGCGAACCTGAAGCGCGACGAATCGCATTCCGGGAGGCGGAGTACGGCGATACTCCTCGTTGCTTCGGATTCCGGGACGGCGATTTGGAGGGATGAGGTTGCTGATGAGGACACGGACTGTCCCGACGTGAACGTCACGGAACCAATGCAAGGCGTAGATTTCGACGACGACGGCGGAAGTATCTGCGTAGAGGAAATCCTCGCTGACTCGGAAGACGAACTTGTCGTTCCAAGTCGGGTTCGCGGCGCCGGAATAGTCGACGCGGGTGGTGAGTTTGCGCTCGGAGTGAACCCAAGCCACCGCGTAAGTCTTCATTTTACGGGAGACGGGAGCTAGATCCTGTGCGGAGATTATGTTGAGCTCTAGCAATTGGAATGACGGAAACATCGACATTGTTGTGACTTATGAACACAATCAAATCAGTCACATTTGGTGAAATCTCGTCGATCTTTTAGGAGAACTGGAAAAATCGAATTTCTTGATTAACCCCTTTAGGAGTGGACGATTCTCCATTTGGATAGATCATTAGGATTGGTATCGTTTGGTGTCTAATCTCCGAATGGTGTTCACCATTGCTTCCTATCTTTCTTTTTCCCATGTTCATGTTTCTAATTAAACTTTTGAAGCAGGGAGATGAGAGAGGAGAGAGGCAGTCCATTTTTGGGTTGTGATGTGTAGAAAATGAGAGAGAGGAAGATAACATTAGGTGGGTCGTGTGATGTTCTTTGGTGGAATTTGTACAAGTTTGCTATATTAGGAGGAGTCATGGGCTAATAGGATCTACTTGTCAATTTTTAGAGACATTCATACTCTTTCTTCTTTACAGGATAGACACCAGAGGTTATGATCTGCAAGAGAAAAGCTTCATGATTGTTGCTTTGCTTCTACAAGAGCTTTTAGTGTATATTGGGTTTTTTATTCGTAGCCCGAACTGAGACAATTATGGCCCAAACGTAACTTCGTTTTCTCTTTTGACTTTTACTCGGTCTCTCTCTCTCTCTTATCAGTGAGGTTTGTTCTGTTTTTGGGTAATGTGACCTATGATTTCCAGAATTCGTAATATGGACCACTCTATGCCCATAATATTACATGCAATTAAATGCTAAAACTATTACTACACGATTCATTAAAACTTGTGCAGAGGGTATAAATGTGTATGATCCTAAAAGGCAAAACTGAGTATCAATTTTCGTTATTCCCCAAAACAAAATTAAATAAGAGAGTATTTCACACGTCTGCATGAATCGCATGAGCAATTAATAAAGGAGAAATTTGCTCCCATGGCATAATTATTAACAAGACCACATACTTTTACAACCATTAACAAACACACATTCAGAAAATACACAACCCATGAAGTCATTGTTCGCATTTTCAACATTTTGAGCACACGATTGTTATCTGAAACAAGTAAAAACGCTAAATATGTCGAAATAAAAGGAAAACCTAAGTAACGTAAATTCCCACAATAATACAAAACGCGGTGGAATCCTACTCATTTACAAGAAGTATGCATATTAAAAAACTCCCACGTTATATTATTAAAGCTGTTATCAAACGAGATTTGGATAAAAGTACCAAAAACAAGTTGGCAGAAACAAACAAATTGACAGGAACTCGAAAAGAACTTAACAGTCTATAAAACAAAAAATATAATCAAAATGTACAAAAGGGAGTATATAGTGTAGTTTGAACCAGAAAATGTAATATTCAATGGTATATTGAATTTCCTGCAAGATTGAATACATATAAGGTAATTGCTAACAAATACTAGCAAATAATGGCCTAAAGTAATGAATGAAGATTTTCATGATATAATAGTTTAAATTTCTGTTTAATATAAAGTTAAGTAGTTAACTATAAACTAGTTAAATTAATGCTCGTGCTTTCCAAAAGACATACTTTACCAAACTTAAAAAAGCTAGGATTTTATGACAAAAGACTTGAGCGATTTCAAATTATCAAATTCATTTACAACTTTTTCATGGAATCAATTGTCCCTCTTCTAACATAATTTAATAGTCCCAACTCTCCATCCATCCACCACAATGTCTTCATCTCAAAAATATTAAATAGAATAACAATCTTGAAGACTTTTAAAATCGGGAATTAATTGCATGCACCTCGGAGTTCACACTAACTTTTGCCTCTATTTCGGGACTGGACTCATTTTGTTGTCTTCATCCTATTTATGTTCAATAATCTGCCAAAAAACAAATAAAACAATTTAGGCTCGATCTTTTTTGCCCTTGTTCTTCTTCTCCACATGTGCATGCCTATAAACGTATGCTTTCACTTTCAATTTCACATCAAATAGTATATATAAAAAATAATGTGCGTGAAGAAGATTTGGAACATCAGATAGAATCTTACAGCCAAATCTTCGAAACCACTTTGCTCAAATTGGAAAGATAATGTCTAGTATTTTTAAATCGCTAATCTTTATTTTAGCAATAACATCAAATCATTGACAAAACAACAAAGCATATTAATACGTATGAATTCCTTATGCATGTGCTTGTGCTTTATATACGTGCATGAATAGAACAGCCAAACGCATGTGTTTATACTTGTATGTATTGTATAATTTAGCTTGTTTTTACGCATGTGTTTATGTATGCGTACGTAAGAGGGAATGTATTTAAAGGTAGAGAAAAATCAAAATACCGTCATATTTCTTCTTCATCAAGTTTTTGACGAAAAGCAAGCAAATGACAAGAAATCCAACTCCAGCTGTTCCTCCTACTATTATTGCCACCGTTTTTCCTGTTGTTCCTGTCCCATTTTTTAATTTTAATTTCTGTTTTCCATCAAAACTTTTATCATCTAATTTACCATAAAGTTTACACTTTTTTCTGCTAACAGTAAGTGAAAACTCGGAAGAGTAACTTTTACGAAATGATAGCAAAATGGAATGTTGATAACAAAAGAAACGGAAAAAGGAAAATCTCAATTGGAGCCTGAAAACGAAAGAACAAGTGTCACACTGAAGCATTTGAATTAAAGTTGAAAATTATTAAAGTTTCAAACAAACAAAAAAAAGATCAACACTTTTTTGAGTTTTTTCCAGCAAATTCAAAACTTTCAATTTGAAATTCGCCGACCCATAAAACCCAAAAGAAGAAACAGAGGGATTCGAGTTCTCACCTGAAGAAGAAGACGAACCCGAAGAGCCATATGTATTGGAAGAAGGAGGATCTCTGTGGAAACCATTTGGGTAATAACCATAAGCGATGAAACACTTATGAAGATAAATCTGACCAGAACTCGAGCCTCCACATTCGACTTGAGCCTTCTCTAACGCGTTTTTGATACATCCGTTACAATCGGAATCTCCCACATCGCCTTCGCACTGTCCTAAAACGTAAACCGCTTGGTACGTCGTCGCGTAGAAGCCGTGCCCTGAGACGACACCGTTCTGCATCACACCAAACGCTGTGTCTCTTCTCTCTTCGAATCCTGTTCCGGCGATGTTCTTCTTCCCACATGTCTTGAACAACATCTCCATCCCTGAGAAATGTTTAAACCGGATTAAATCATTTATCCAGTCCCGATTCGGTATAATATTGAACCGAAATCAATCCGCGGGAATCTAATAACCGGGAAAAACACAATACTTTCAAGTCTTTCATTGTAAAACCGGCAAACCTGTCGCTTAGTCCGGTTGATGATAACCGGTTCACTGAATGTCCGAAATTTGAAAAAGATATTTGGGAAAAAAAATCTATAAAAAGTAATTCAAAAGTCAACTACTTTTCAAATTCTGGTTTTATTTTATGACTTAAGAGAGCTTAATCTAAAGTTTAGCAAAGAAACTTTTTGGTTCACTCAAAACTGATCTCTCTACCGGCTATATTAATAAGGAGGAGCCAAAAATAAACCAATCTTAGACCGGTCCCCAAAATCCGGTTTATCGTTACAAAAAATATTTGAACAGTTGAGATTAAACCGAAGAAATGTGGGGTTACCTGAAATTTGAGCAAAGCCAGCGACTTCATAGAGAAGATAACAGCCGGAAAGCTGGACTCTAGAGGCAATAGCTCTGCCACAGAGCTTACCGGAGAGAACAGGAAGACGACTAACACAGTTGTAACAGTCGTTGTTGCTCAAGTCTCCTCTACACTGGAAAAGACCAGTAATGGTGGTTTGGCTTGTTGTTCCGGTTGTGGTTTTGTAGAATCTGGTTTTGGTCGATTGAGAGACCAATGAGCCAAACATTGCAGAGAGAGACTGCGAGTATAAACCAGATGGATCTGAGAATTGCTCTCTCGCGCAACCTTTGTAGATTAAGTTTGTGTAGTCTGGCGATGCAGATTTCGCTAGCTCGAGATCTGAGAACAGAGCCATGGAGATTGAGATGATGATGGAGAAAGACGAAAGCTTTAGTAGTGAAAACCTCATTTTTTGTTGTGTGGAAGAAACTTTGGTCAAAAATTAAATCATGGTTTGGTTTTCTTCTTTGTGGGGAAGAGAGTTTGAGGTTGTTTCTAAGTTTGGAGGAAGAATTTTGAGAGATGTGGTGATGAGTAATGAGAAATGGATGTGGAAAGATTGAATCTTTTGTGGGGTTTCTTGGATATTTCAACTCTTTATTTATGGAGTTTTTTTGTAAAATTCAGTGACTGGTTTTGTTTGGTGGCTCAGTAAAAGCTCTTTATTTTTCTTCTTCTGAGTTTCTGGTTTTGGTTTTTAATGGTGAAAGAGAGAGAGAGAGAGAGGGATGACCACTCTTTACTCTCTCTAGAGCTGTTGAAAACAAGATTAGGATAGAGGAAAGGGAAAGAGCGCAATTTGTTTTCTTTATTTTATATATTTTTATTATCTAAACAATCAATCAACAAGATTCAAAACGCTCTTCTTCAGCCACCGGTCTACAAGACAGTACAACGAAGTGTGGTGATTGTAGGCTCTCAGTAAATCCCAATATCATTCATTATTGATTGTATCAAATTTCACTAGAGCTTCACATGCTAATTTAACCCCTAAACCCTTTTCACCATCTCTCTACTAATCTACTTTTGGTCAATTCAATTCATTCACAATCACAACGTTTTGTAAAACAACCTTTTGTTAAAATTAAATTAATGGATCTGCAAAAGGAATCTGATATTCGTGGGAGAATGGAAATATTGTGCAATGTGATATGTTATTTTTTTGACCAAGTACAGTCAACGCCGCAACAGTATTCTTGTAAAATTTTAATCTTTTAACTATTTTCACATGTTTTTTTAATTTGGTCTCTCCTTTCTTTGTCATAATTCTCACATTTTGACCAATTTCAATGGTAAGTTGAGTCTTCATCATCATATTTAATTAAGTGTGATGATGAAATCTTATCAGATATCATTGGTTTGATTATATGGGTAAATAAATTGCAGCAAATAAGCATACAACCTTCTTGGTGTGGAACAGTGCTAGTAGTACCAGACCCGGTGTAGAAAAAACGTCTTAATTTCAGTAAGCTTCGACCACTGGCAACAAGACAACAAATTTGGTACAGATTTTGAAGGTACAAAGAGAGAGTTTCATAGAGCCTATTGAATGGGAAAATATAGTAAGAAAACTCAAGTGAGAGAGAGTGATAACTTGAATTCCAAGAAGCACCGAAGAACATTACAATCACAACTCATATTCTCCCATTAGCTGCGAAAACTGTGAGATACAATAGAAGTTGAGAGGGTTCGAGGGAGATATAACCGGAGGAACATTTGGAATTCGCTGGCTTAAAGTTTTAAACGGATTCTTCACGAGTCGTCGGCATCGGCTTTTTCGTCAACAGGAAGACCAAAGATCCGTAGGTTACGGTCCATCGAACCAACTGCAACGTACTGTGCATCTGGACCAAACTTCACACATGTGGCTTTACCTACAAGATTAAGGGTATTGAAATTAGGAACATAAATCCTTAGATGACCAGTGAGAAGAGAGTTAGGTAAGAGATTTTACCAGTGCCGGAGAGATCTGGGAGTGTCTTGATAAGGTTCCACTCAGCTTTCACACTCGCCGTCTGGTATAGTCTGCAGTGGTGACAAAGATTTTGTTAAAGTCTCTATTGAATGTTAGGTTGGCCTCTTTGACCAATTAAATTCCAAATGTACACTCACCTGATATCTGATGCAGCAATACCAAGATAAGACCCGCTAGGATCAAACTCAACTGCACAAGAAAAAAGGATTTCCATTCAGTTATCTTATACACGGAGATTTCTATATCAACACAGGAGCGGGATAAAGTAGTTGCATACCAGAGTTTGCATCTGCAGATGAAAATGACTTGAAGTTCCTTAACTTGCGCAGATCCCACAGCCTAACACCATCTTCCGCAGCAGTCTGTACATTTGAAGAAAAACAATCATGTAAATAGAGAAACGTAGCTCCACTTTGCCATCTAGGAGTTTGGTTAAAGTACTCACCGCAAGGAAATAACCGTTTTCAGAGAAAGATATAGAGGTAACTTCCCCGGAATGTCCATCAAACTTCGCCACATTTGCCTATTATCCAACACAAAAAAAATGAAAATAAAATTGAAGACCAGTGGACATAGTTAATGATATTATTACAAGGTAATATGATGCACAAGGCCAGTGTTTTTACCTGACTTTTAACATCCCAAATCTTGACAACAGATTGAGAAGTACCGGTTCCGAGAATGAGACCATCGGGATGAAAAGCAGCAGCCGTGTAGTCCACCTTCTCAGAATCGTCCGTCACCTGTACAAACATAAGAAAATTAAGTGGCTTATATTAGGAAAGGAACTCATAATGTGACAATGCTTTTGAAGAAAGTATAATCCAAACTGAATATACAGAATAAATACTGTAATATATTTGTAGGCAAAGCTAGAAAGGAAGACATGTATCAGTTGGTTCTTTTATGTAAGAGTTTAGTGACCTTTGCAAGGCACAAGCCAGAGGAAAGATCGTAGAAGCACCATGTACTGTCAAGAGATGCCGACACAAAGTATTTGTTTGTGGCATGCACAGTTACAGCTCGCACCTGAAAAAACCCATCATCGGTTATGTTAAACAAAAAGAAGAAAATGTAATAGACAGTAAGAATTCTTCAAATTCATCCTTACCTCTGCAGAGTGATCATACAATGTGTGCCCACAAGCATAGTTCCCATCCCCAGAATCCTTCCAGATACGGACAGTCTGCAGGCAAGTTACTAATTTAGTAATAAAAAGATAACCCATCAAACAAATGGACTGATGGTGATGCATATCCTCTGAATTAATGAACATAGTATTCAACAAATCGCAGATGTTTCTGGTGTGAGTGAGAGTGATTAAAGCGTCTTTCATAACTATATGCAGAGAACCAGAGTTTTACAAAGATAGCTCATAACTTGTTTTCACACTTAAAAGCAAAATAGAGCGCAAGATTAGAAAAATCCTACAGAAATCAATGACTTAGGACTTTCATGTAAAAATGTATCTTGACTTACCTTGTCAGCCGAAGCAGTCAAAACAAGATCACTGTCACCAGCAAATTTAACGCTTGTAACCTACAAAAGGCTCAACACGTATAAACCACGGAGATACATAGAGAAGTTAAACAGAAATCAAAGGCAAAAAGTTAAATACCTTTTTCGAGTGACCACTCAGTGTTGACAGGATTTGACCTGAAGGGCGATCAAAGATAACAGCAGTTGTGTCAACTCCTCCAGTAGCAATGACATCCTGATTACCGAATTAAGAAGGAAAAAAAATTGATAGGTTAACTGCTGCACACCAGAGCTCGTGTAGTGAAAGAAAGGCGAAGAATCTATGGTCATTATACAAACATTTATCACACACGACATATTGGTAATTAAGGGCATTTTAAAATATTATGGCAAAAAAGACAGAACAAGGTATGATATGAACACTATTATGCCTGTCAGTAATCACATGCTATGCAGTGACTTCTAGAAACAGAGAAAAAGAAGAATAAGGTGGATTAATAAGATAAACTTTTGATGAGAAACCTTAGAATGTAAGATGTCCATCGAACAAATCCCCGGTTTGTTGGTCTTGTGAAGTGGGTGGCTTGATAGCTGAGTGAACCTCTCCAAAGCATCTATTGAAGCCAATGTTTGAGGAATCTACAGAAAAAAAGAAGAAGAAATTATCAAGAAATCAGGAAGCAACCAACAAAAACATTGCCTTCTAAGTTTCTAACTCTCAAATGCATTAACAAAGATAGATGGGTATCAAATTGCAGTACCTGTCGCTTTTTGCGCTTCTGGGAAAGAGCAGCATTGCAATCTGTCAATTCGGTGATAATGTCAGCTGAGATTCCAGGACACAGTTTCTTCGCATCAGGACCCATTTCTTCATCAACGGAAGCTAGCATACAACAAAGAAGGAATCATAAGACATCACAAGAGACTAAAATCTTAAGTAACTTACTTTGAGTAAAAAAGGGTACAATCATGAATCATACCTCGTTTACCATTACTCAGACCAGCAATAGGTGCCACAGCTTCTGGGGCTGCAGGTATATGTCTTTCGACCTCTGCAAGCAATTGGCGTGCTTCATCTCTTTCTTTTTTCAGTCTAGCAATGACACGACAAGCAGAATCATGCTGGAAACAGAAGGAACAAAAAAGATCAAACACACTTACTATACGATGAAATGGTTGAGGAAATAAAACTAGTGTACAAAATAAAAATTCATCAAGTGGTGGAACAAACACAAAACCAGGATTACCTGATACAAGGCGTGACTTAGCTCTTGCCTTGCAGTATGTAGTTGTTGCTCCAGCGCAAAATTTGATAGCATCAAACCATCCCATTCCTAGAAGTACAAAACAGTTAAACTTCTCAGGCAATTACTTTGTCTAATTCAACCTAACGAACGAACAATTTCTCTTGATTAACAGCTAGAAAACGAGCAGATTATCAGCGTAATAACTGTTGTAACTTGTAAAGAGTAGATGCCAATATGTTCAGTTACCGAATCTTGTATAATTTTGATAATTAATCCTAAACAATGTATTTCTAAGTTAGATCACAAAACTCTACATGACCAATAACAGAAATTTGTCATAGCGAAACGCCCATAAGATAAAACAAGTCCAAAGCTAAGTGAAAAGGTAGGAACAAAGTTACAAAACATTTAAAAGCTTACATTCTGGAACGTTCCGAGTAATCCAGGGATGCTAGCTGTATGCAATGGTTTCGGCTTTATGATCTGCGCAATGGTCAAAGAGATTGAAACGGATTAAAGAGCTTTCTTCAACAGTTCACCGCATCAAGTGATTTAGAAATTATAATACCTTCCCAGTTTTGATGGAGACAATGTCATCAATTGTAAGAGGCTCGCCAGTAACAGGGCATTTCCCATAGTCCTACAGGGGAGGAAGAATTTTTTGAGAAATCATTACTCCAATTGGAGATCGAATGTTGACAACAGTCAAGATTTATCCAGAAAACTGAAGCTATAGAATCAATGATTGAAATTCCCGGATTCGTCTGGCTAATAAGAACAATAATATTTAACCCAGTGCATTGACAAATCTAAGAGTAAATTGCAATTCCAAATCTCTCTAGTCCCAGAAAGTGCAAATCTTCGAATTTCTCAAAAATTTCACGATACTACGAGAGCTATCCAAGGTAAACCAACTAAAATCACTCAAACGACTAGAAATCTTCCGGCGAGAAGAAAATATGAGGTAAGATTAGCAATTGACGGAACGGAATCGAGTGAAAAGGCTTTAAGCTTACCGATATATGCCTCTCGATTAATCGCCTCTCGAAGAGCAGACCTGACTTCGTCGAAATCACTGGCTCCTCGGGAACTTCTCCGGAAACTGTATGGAAATAAAGAAAACAGTGCCGCCACGAACATCAGCCAAAAGAAAACCCTAAATCGGCAAATTGAGAAGAAAGAAAGAGGCGAATATAAGCTTTACTTGCACAGTTCATCGTAGAGAGGAACGACTGATACGAAGCAGCACGAGCTGTTAGGATGACCGGTAATTCCCTCACAGTGACGGAGCTAGGGTTTAATCTTCTCCGGTCCGGTGATTCAAAGAAAAATCGCGGAAGCCGGGAAATTGCTGAAGAGAGAGAGAGAAGATGATGGACACTCTCAAGTGTAAATTAGGGATTCAATTTTGCGGGGAAATTGGGCCTATAAGTATCACTATTGTTATTGGGCGCTTTCTCACTAAATTGGGCTTTTGAACTTTCTGACGAATTCGATCCAGTCCTGTTATCCAGATAGAACCCCGAAACGACAACGTTCGTACAATATTTAACATTTCTGTGGTGTTGTAGTTTTTTTTTTTTTGCTAAGAACGTTAGTATTCATATTAATGAAGTGGTTAGGATCTACAAAACCATAGCCTAGACAGATTAGCTCTCCGGCAAAAAAAGTAATAAAAAACAGAGAGCTAATAAAAGATTACATGAAACAGAGCATAGACATCAGCTCAACGAAGCCATAGGTTCATGAGGTGGCGAAAGATTGTCTGTATTTGTGTTTGGCTTTAGGACCCTAAGTGGAATGTATAATAGGTTTGTTTTACTACTAGGACAATTTTTCAAAATAATCCAAACGTAGCATCGTAGATTATATTTTTGCGTACCATTATTTACATTTTTTTTTTTTAAAAAGGCTTTCGAGCACTATTTACATTACAAATTTATATTATGTATATATACAATGACATAAAGAGAAATGGTTGGTTGATCAATTAGTATATTGGTATGCAACTATATGCATTGACGTTGAAATGCAACAAATGGAATCAGTGTTTCTTCATCGGTATTTTTTTATAAGCAACGGTGTGTGGCTAGCTTTTCGCTTTTAATTTGCTCTTTGTTTGATGTTGCAACTTGGGCATTTGTTGTAGGCTTTGGTCTTTCTATAGTATTCGTTATATTTGTAAGGGTTAATTTGCTATATAACAATATTGGGCTTCATAATGTAGAATCTAGCCATGATGTTTTGAAAATACAGTAAATAATAAAGAGAAATTTTTGCTTGTCCATTTTCTCCCTGAAATAGGCGGGACTTTTCCTTCCCAAACTTTACCATTGTATAATTGTTTTTTTCTATGGTTGTAGTTAATTCTACGTGCTCATCTCTTTAGTGCACTCCATAAGCACAAATACTTATGATGTAAATTACACACTGAAAAATAGTATACCCAAGGTTTGGTTGGTTAGCTATACAAACAGTACAAAATACCCTAAACCCACAAACATACTTGCATGACATTCTACAGCCTAAAACCTATACCATAACCCATATGCCCTAAACTATTTTCACAAAACTAAACCCCAAAACTCATAAATTTAATCCCTAACCCCAAATCACTAAACCCTAAATTCAAAACTAAACCCTAAACCTTAACCCCTAATCCCTAACCCCAAATCAGTAAACCCTAAATCAAAAACTAAACCCTAAACCTTAACTATTAAACCCTAACCCCAAATCAGTAAACCCTAAATCCAAAACTAAACCCTAAACCTTAACTATTAAACCTTAAACCAGCCTATTAAAGCCCTTCACCCTAATCCTTGCACCCTAAACCGTTGAATGGAAACCAAACCTCGCTAACATATAAACCACACCTATAATACAACCCACATGTCATATACCACTCAAGTCTTTTTGGTAAATATTAACATTAACCATAAATAATAAACTTTGATCCTTCTCTTTGACATAGTGAAATCCATAGTACATACATTCATATTTGCTACATGATTCTACAAATGAGAGATAACATATTCCACAAATCCAGAGTGCATAATATTAAGAAATAAAAAATAGTATAGACATGTAGAAATCCATACTACTTAAAATAGTACAAACATATAGAGATCTAGTCTCAAACATCCTGTCTGAACTTTTCAATCCCCCATGAGCTGATCAGATACTTCATTCTACTGTATTTCCGATCATCTCTTCTCCCGTGTTCTCTCTGAGTGACAACAATGGCCTTCACAGCATACAAAATATCCTCCTTAGTCACGTAACCTAATGGCTCCGCAATGCGGGCAAAAGTAGACTCCATTATGTGTGTTCTTCCCATACCTCCACCAACCTGAAAACAGAGCCAAAAAAAACAATCTGTGAGCAGTTTCAAACAAGACTAAATGATGAAGCAAACGGTGGAGACTAGACTTACGTATATGTTGAAACCCTGTGGTTCCCCATTTTCATCAGAGACAACAACAACGCCAATGTCATTGGTGAGAAGATCAACAGAGTTATCCGTAGGCACAGTGACAGTGATCTTGAACTTTCTCGGCAAGAACTGTGTGCCGTAAATGGGATGGGCTCAGGAGAGTCGACAAAGTTAGTCCCATGAGAGTTATCATTCCTCTTCCATGTTAAAACCTATGGCAAAATAGCTGAAAATGTTAGGTTATAATGTTGGCAATCAATAAACTCCTTAATCGAAAGAAGGAAACCTGTTAACCACCAAAATCTCCTATAACTTATCATCAGTTCTATGAAAAGAAATCTCAGAACGCCCGTACAGTTATTTTTACTGAAAAAAAATATAAATTGTCTTCTCTTATACTATACCCAATGATATAGTACAGCCCAACGAATTCTCATAATTGCAGACACCAAAATTCTCATACTCAAGTCTCAACCCCGATAACAATATTACAAACTCCTTTTTTTTTGTTAAAGTCTCAAACCGGATAACATATGTGTTATCATATACTAAATCCAATTAACAAACATGAATCAGAAAAGGAAGCAAAATTTAGTCGGTATTTTAAACAGTATAAGCAAATCAAATTCACAGAATATGGCGAAATTCATCTAATTTTACATAAACCCAAACACAACCTAATCATTGCCGTCACATGGCAAATTGCAAGAGATTGGCGAAATTCTCTAGAATCCGAACAGTTACCCAACATAATCATACTAAAGCCGATCGAGATTTATACAGATCGGATAAAGAAGACAAATCAATTGAAGGAAAAGTACCTTAGATCGAGGAATGAAACTAACCTAGATCTACAAAAGATTCAACCGGCCGTCGGATATTGCAGTGGACTCTTATTATCCCGCTGCCTATGTTCTTCAGAGGTCGATGAAGCAAATATCGAAGAATATTGAGCCCGTAGAGGAATCCGATTGATGAAGGTTTCTCCGCCAAAAGTATCACAACCCTCTGATCTAAAATTTGTGTGGTTGTGTTAAATGACACTGTTGCAAAAAGATGAAAAGTCCCCTCTCCAAATTGACTTAAAATTTTAAAGTTTGAATTTCTCTGTCCTCCGAGGAGTTTTATGTATATATTCCATAAAATACACACAATATCGTAGCCATGTATTTCCTATTGTTAAATTGTTAATTATGGTCCCCAATATAGTCATCCATTGCAATTTCCCTATTTGTAACTTAAAAAAAAAAAAAAAAAAAAAAAATCACCTTTTCAGTAATCTAAACTTTAGTGAATAGTGATTTAAAAGTTAGGACGATGAGGGTACCATCCGAAGCACGATGGGTATGTCCTTTCTATTTGCATAAAAGTTATATTCTTAGAATCCAAAGATGAAAGCAAACTATCATAAAAGTACACACACAAATGATAATAATAATAACAATGAAGAATATTTTTTGTACATATTCAAACCATCACGAAATCCAAATTACTAAAAAGATTAAAAATTCCCCAATATATCGAAATTAGATTGAATAATCATTTATGCATACTCTTAGATTTGTTATCTACTTCAAAACTTCAAAACACATACCACATTTGTTCTTCTGTTATCTTTTAAGAATTTGAACAATACCTAATTTCTACGTTGGAGATGAATTAACATTTAGTCAATGACTGCATGGTTCAAGATGATTTTATTGAGAAGAAAATTTCGAACAAAAAACGAAATGAATGTTACATTCACATAAACATGTGGAAAAGGTATCATATTAAATATTTTTCTCTATATTTATTGTAGGTGTTGATTTTATATGGTCAAGGTGGTGGTCGCTTTCTATTTGGATAATGCGTGTGCAACTGTGCATATATTACATTCAAAGTTTAGATCATGAAGATGGTCATATCTTTAAAGTATCAATTCATCAAATCAGCTTTGATCTTAAGCTGTTCCATTTTTATGTTTCACTTCATTAATTATTCTTTTCTAAACAATTTGATTATTGCAATTCTCTTAACCCCAAATTATATACCGTACCTATATATTCCTTATAAAGGGTCTTAAGCATTCCTACGTACATGATTAGTGTATGTACTTTGCGTTGTTAGCCTTATATGAACATCACATATAACGATATTAATTTGTAGATACAACTTAAGAGAATAATAACTTTGGACACTTTTTTGGGGGTAAATAACTAGATTCTTTATGGAAGTGATTTTCAAATGCTTGATAGACTTTTGTGACCAAACTAAGATATTGACAGGCGGCGGGATATTGATGTCTCATGATCAGAAGTAAAAACACTTCAAAAACATAAATAAACGTACTCTGTGATTGTGTGTATAAGTATAGCGTCAACTGCAGAACTTTGGAATTAAAATAGTTTTATTGTGTGAACACATGTTTAGAAATGTGGAGACTAAATATAAAATAAATCGCAGGAAATTATTATAGTTTTGAAAAGACAACAAAAATCCGTACATTAGCTTATTTAGTTCTATTGCAACGATAATCAAAACTCTATACATTTATTCTCATCCTATTCGAGCTGGAAAAAAAAACTAGCTAAGTGAGATCTCAAAGGATGAGAGGGAAATTGTATCTTTAAAGGTAAAAAGCATTGACCCTATGCTCAAGAAGTCACAATCGCAGCATTTTTAATAGACGGAGTCATTTTCATACGAAAAACTTTACATTTCGAAGTTGGTTAAACATTGTTTTCGAATTTTATCTCTATTACTGAATAATTGTTCTTACAGGCAAATAAAATCTTGTTGTCCAAAGACGTTTGTCCACTCGCATTTTTCTGATATTTTTACTGACCTGGTCGAATTCTTTTCCACTCTTTTGCCGAAAATCAAGAGCCAAGTCAATAAAATTAGCAAAAGAAATACAATTAGGATAGAACATATCTAAAATTAAGAAAATAGAAAACTAATTCCCTGAATATAGGGCTTAAATTAGCACAGCTTTCAGTCAAAAATGTCAATATCCACGCAAGAATTGGGGTCAAATTTATTGACCGGTCAAAACAGTTTCTAGAGACTCTTTTATCCACGACGACACCTTTACATCCACGTAACATTGCCACGTCATGAGAAGAGGAGATTTCGAGTCTAGCGCATTAAACTTTAAGTGCCACGCTGGCATATATTACGCCTTGTTACATGAAAATAATTATTTTCCATACACATGCATGCATTATATTATACATGTAGATATAGATATACAAATATATACATACACACAAACCAAAAGTATATATATGTATGTGGTTACGTGAAACTCCCATAACCTCTTTTTTTCCCCCAGAAAACTGTAAGAATTTTCATTTCTTCTCTGTCCAAACAGAAGAACCTTTGTTCTGTTTTGATTTAATTATCTCTTTGTTTTTTCAGTTTTTCTTGTTTTTGTTTTCCTCTCCAGTATTTCAATTTCTTCGATGGATTTTCTTGTTCATACATCACTCATTCCAACATTATCCCACAAAGCATCTGTGAAGCCCCATTCATTAATTTTCTTGCTATAATCTTTTTTTTTTTTCTGGGGGATTTTATATCTCATTTTCCCAGAAAACCCTCGCATCACCAGTTACCATAGGAGACAAAGAACACAAACATGTTGCAAGACGTGATCTCGTCTCACGATCAGCTTTCCATCGTAATTATCTTCTCTTCAGTTAGCATTTTTTTTGTTTACATTGACATTATATATCATGCGTAATCATGCGTAATTTCAGCGTAAATACTAATTGTTTGTCTTTGAATTTTGTTTGAAGCATTGAATTAACCATTTCAAGGTTGATCGATCTTATAAACTGAGTAATTTTTTTTTCCTAGTCTCTTATGGGGCAACCCCAGAATTTCAATTAATTATATAGTTTTTTTTTATGTTACGTCATTTTCTTCACCTTATATTCCATGTTCTTCATTCTTTGAACTTTCTTTTCTTTCTTTGTTATTCTCTACACACTTCAATTTATCTTCCAAAATTATTAAGATACGACTTTTTGAATATTATCCTTATCACTCTCATTCGCATGCATACGATTGTTACTTCTAATCCAATAGAAAATCGTCACATGATATAGAAAAATGTTCTACAATTTTATTTAAGTCCACTTCAACTATTTCTTACATATTCGAGTATAAAGTTTTTTTTTTTCAAAAGTAAAATGGTAGATTAATTTTCTCACCTTGAAGTTTTTGGTGAATTTCACTAGAAGCACTGAGATGTTATACGATCATGCATGATCAACATGAAGGTACTTCTCACATGTTGAAATATCTTATGAAGTGCCCTTTGCTTTTTCTTTGTGGGGAAAAAATCTAAATGTTGGTTCATACCAGGCAATGTTAGTTTTTTTTCTCAACACCAAAAAGAAATACCAGAATCAGAAAACTTTCCTCTTATAGAAACTCCACTCTTCTTTTACTTTTTTCTTTTTGGCTATTGGAGGTTGGAACACTTCTTCTTAACATGTCACATGAAAGAACAGATGCATTTAATCTCTCTTTAGTCTTTACCAACACTTGCGATGTTCTAAACTGATTTTATTAACAAACAAAAAAAAGATTGGATTTGATCAGGACACATAAATCTTGGAGTGTTTTGATGTCGAAAAACAGAATAAAGACATATCTTATAGATTCTCTCTAGATAATTAAGCCACAAGAGAACAAATTTTACTTGACTATAAATCTGTCTTAAGAACCAAGCTTGTAATTTCTCAAGGATCACACACAGCTCTTGTTTCTTGTGACTCAAGCCAAAACCTCTGTTTTCTTCTTTTGATGCTCGGCTTTAGCGTAATCTCTTTGATCATTTACTTTCTCTGTTTGATCTAAGCTTAGATATAACGGTTGGTTGTGTTATTTCATCAGGATGATATCACGAGCCCTCTTAGCGCTCAAATCTTTGATTTCAGCGATCCGCTACTGTATCAAGAAACCTTCAACCAGTCTTCTGAAGTCACCTCTGCACCAAACATTCTTGAGAAATCTGTCAGCTTCCAAGACAATCACAGTGGTAACTCCAACACCACAACAACTGAGAACAGCAACAACAACAACAACGACAAACTTCAAGATGTTGAAGACGACAACAACAACGCGGATCTATCTATCATCTTCGATTCACAAGAAGATTTCGAAAACGACATAGCCGCTTCGATCGATTTCTCATCTTCTTCTTTGCAGTATCCAGTTATAGACCATCTCCTCACAGAGACAAATCAAGACCAGTTTGATTTCTCATCAGGAGCTCAAGTTGTTCATGATCATCAGCCTCCTAACTATCTATACTCTGGAGACCCTCTGGCTTTACCGGCGGTTTCCTCTGTAGCTCCTCCTCCTCTGCCATCAGGGGTTTTCGAAGAAGATTGTCTTTCTTCTGTCCCAAGTTACAATCCTGGCTTAAACCCTTCTTGCTCTTTCTTTCGTAACTCCGGTTTACCGACTTATATGACGAATATGAGCACCGGTTTATTATCTGGTGAAAATAATTATGGTTTTTCCTCCGGGAATATTCATTTGGGAACGGAAATCAAGAATTCATATGATCCACTGATGGATTTTCAAGCTGATAGTGGTGGATTTTTCTGTCCGGATTCCATCAAACGCATATTTAATCCAGAAGATCTCCAGGTAATATTGAAATTCAGTTTTGAATACCTGTGACAGTTACATGGTTTACGCTTGGTTATCTTGAATAATAGAATTTCTTGTTTGGTCATGAAGAAACATGGCCGGTTCAGTATTGCTAACCGGAATATTTATTTTTGTTGAGAAGGCACTTAGTGGTGTAGAGAACCACAGCCAGTTGGTGGTACCTCAGACTCATCCGGCATTAGGACCGGTTGAGACAACCGGTTTAGAAGATTCAGCTTTAAACAAAGTTGGGAAACTCTCCCCCGAGCAAAGGAAAGAGAAGATTCATAGGTACATGAAGAAGAGGAACGAAAGGAACTTCAGCAAGAAAATCAAGGTTTGGATTTTAACAAATCAAACCAACTTAGACCGTTGGTTATCGTTGCTCTAATGTTTTTGTAATTTTCTTGTTGTTGTTGTAGTATGCGTGTAGGAAAACATTGGCAGATAGTCGTCCAAGAGTAAGGGGAAGATTTGCAAAGAATGATGAGTTATTTGGTGAGCTAAATAAACAAGGTTCTTCGAGCCATCATGATGATGAATACGAAGATGATGTAAGAAATCCGGTTGATCTTAAATAGATTCATATGAATATGTGTTTAAACGGAGTGTTGATGTTTACAAAATCTAATTAAACCGGTTGGGTTTACAGATGCTGGGAGTGAAGGATGAGGAACATTTGGTAGATTCTTCAGACATTTTTGCACACATTAGTGGAGCCAATTCCTTCAAGTGCAACTACCCAATCCAATCTTGGAATTGAGTTTCCCACAGACCCATGATTATAACATTAATCTTATATAATTAAGTAGTACTTCTATAGAGTTACTATTTGTTATTTAACTAGTCTATCTAACTATGCAATGCCCCAGGTTCTGTCAGAATATATATAACAATCTCATAAAGATAACGAATAATGTGTTTTTAGGCAGGTTTGGATGAATAAAACAGTAGTGGAGAAGCAGGATTTACTATGTTACATAGAAATTTCAAAATTTTGTAGATACAGTATATTAATAACATATATGATGTTTTGTATTTAATTGTTGAGTTGTATTTTTTATCACCTGAACACTAAATAAAATCATTTCACTTTGTATTTTGCTCATTTCACATCCTACATATTTATTCTTGGAATCATTCTAATGAAGACCTGTGTGTGCATATATAAGAAATGAAGATATGTGTAGAAGACGTTAGGTATATAAAAAGTATGTAATAATGGGGCTTTTGTTTTTATTGAAAAGTTGGATTGGGCCAAACAAAGTGTTGAAGATCAATTATTTAATCACGGCCTCCCTTACAGCTACCAGTTAAGAACATTGCAAAGCTCAAACTATATTAAGTTATCAACAACGACTCTCATACATGCGTTATAAATGTCGACCGTACCATATTTTCCCCAACTGGAGAAAAGAAGAAAAAAATTGAAAAAAGAGAGATTATAGTAACTTTGTAATGAAATCATTTGTTATATCTTCTTGGTTATTTTATTGATGTTCTGTTTATGAAAAGTGAAATTGACTTTTAAACCAAACTGACGTCTAAACTCTTAAGGCAGGTCAAAAATGACCTTTAAATGATCGTTATCAGGTCAAAAAAAAAAAATGATCGTTATCAAAATATAAATTACATTTTATACAAACCTATTTCAAGAATTCAACTATGCCATTGGACTTATAGGTGGAACTCGCCTCGAAAGTCTTTTGAATCATGACTATAGAGTTTGAATCATGCTAATAAGTCTTTTGAAAATGAATATATGATCTTGATTTGTAGAATATAGACTCACACATGACACAAAGTGATCACAACACAATCTTAATCAGCTTCGAATCTATTTTCTAACTTATTTTCCAGAACATCTACACGTGTACAGTGTACTTACAAAAATACAAAAATATCCATATAAATATGATTTTAGACCAGACAGACTTACGAACTATAAAATCCAACAAAAATAAGCCGACTAATCACATGCATGGAAAAAAACAGGAATTATGGTTAATGCTTCTCATATTAAAAAGGTTAATGTGGTTAGTGCAAACATATGGACCGGATTTGGTGGAGAAGAATCTTGGATCATACAAACCGGAGCATCAATTTTATAATACGGCCGGTAGGTGGATAAAATTTTCTCGAATATTCAATGTTATATAGATATATACATCTCTTCTAGATGAATAATTGAACTGACATTTGCGATCTTCAAGAAGAACAAAACACATAAATAGTGGAACTACATTTCACTGTATTACTATATTCAGGTTTACATATTTGAATTTTGAAATCATACTATTATTTGCAAAGTCAGAATTTCGAATGGAGGCACCACGTTAACTCTCAGCCACGAATTACATAACTACCCTTAATGAAAATCTTTATTAAATCTTTCAATTTGCTTATTATCTTATTTAAAAACGAATTTATTTTATTTTTTAAAAAGACGTCAATTTGGATATTTACATAAATTATTTTTGGATATACCACATACCTAACATATTTCGCGCCACATTTATGGAAAAAATTAAAAAAAAAGTAAAAGATAAAAAACGTCAATTTGGATATTTACATAAATTATTTTTGGATATATACCACATACCTAATTTATGGAAAAAAATTAAAAAAAAAGTAAAAGATAAAAAATTGGAAAACCTAGGTTTGTTTTACGATTCTTTCTTATATATAGGGATAGCTACAAGCATAATCAACCCAATTCTCATTACTATTTGCATCTCTTCTTTCTATACGTAATTTTAGTTCTTAGGTCTCATATATTTTCTTCTCATGCATCTTTATGGTTTTACTTTGATTTAAGTTCTATTTACTGTAATAATGATTAACTTCTTCTTCTCTCGCTTTTGTTACAGTTAGTTCCAAGCTAATGGGAAAAGAGAACCTTTTATAGTCAAACCTTTTATTGTTCATTATAAAAATACATCTATTTATGTTGAAGCGTGGCCAAAAAAGCAGATGGCAAAGGACGAAAAAAACAATGTAAAACAGGAAAAGAAGCGAGTGTCTTTTATATGGTCTTAATTTTGTGTTCTATGGACCAATTATTAATTGACAAGAGAAATTACAGAAAGCGGCCTTGAAAGCAGAAGGAGCTGAGCGTGCTAGGAAAAGAAAAGCAAAAATTGGAAACTAGATAGTTAGCCTTCCAATTTATCGTTTCATATATTGATGTTGGATTGATTGAAACTAAAGGATTCATTATAGGGGTTCTTCTTAGAAAAGAGTCCATCCATGGATCATTCGCAATTTTTTGTAAAGGGTGTATGGACTCTTGCTGAGCTATATATTGTTGTAGAAGTTTTACGAAAGAGAATTTATTATAATTGTTTATGTTTTTGACTCTCTTCAATGATTGTTACGATTGTTTCTGTTTTTGTGAGAGCCTCACGAAAACGTTAAGCACTTCTCTGTTTGTTCAGCTGTGAATCTCGATCATGGTTTCTCCGTGATTACCAACTACAAGTTAGTGTTCAAGTTTCACTTTCATGTTCACCGTCTCCACACACTCTATCATCATAAACATAACCACAACTGCCATTATTCCGAAATATTGCTGTGTCGCAATCAGGGTGAGACTGATTCGTGAGGTTCAATTAATGCTCTTGAGACTCTTAAAATAGGCTAAAGACGAGTACCATTCACACATTCCGATTACTATTTCTTGCCATGTTAATTAGTTTAGGCATGTTCAGAAAATAATCTTTATATCCACTATAACTCTATAAGGCATCTCTATCTATCGTTAGCTAAATAAGGTTTGGTGTATATAACACTTGCTATTTCTCTTGAGGCTCGGAGCGATCATGGATGTTTGATTTTTTAGTAATGGTTTAATATTATATATAATAAAATTAGGAGATAAACAAGAAGAAAATGACAAGGGATAACAAAAAGAAGAAAAAGAGATTATTGGAGAATAAATAAAAGGGAGTAAAAGTCTGGAGAAGAAGAAGTTGAAGAACAAAACTAATAAAAGGGGAATACTTTTTTATCTCTCTAACCGAATGAAGAAACTGAGTAGAAGAAAAAGACTAGACACGTAGAAATTAGAAGATTGAGAAGTTAGAGAAGACAAAACACATAATGTAATCATCATATTTAATGTTTGGTAGGGGTTAGAGTGTACAGTTTATTGAAAGATTTATAATATGAGATTAAATCAGAAAATAAAAAGATGACGATGAAGAGAGAGAGGAAAAGAAAAAAGATTAGAAAGTTTGATAAGAATAAAAAAAAAACAAACGGTAGAAAATGAATGAACAAAAATATGAAAGAAGTAAAAGAAGAAGAAGATAAAATGGGATTGGGGTTTATGATGTACGGTTTATATTGATGGGCGTAAGGTTTAGTTTTAGATTCATTTAAATTTTTTTGAATACACTACCTTACTGATCGAAAACGAAACAAAAAACTTCTTTTAAGACAAAAATAAATATAAAATTCAATCCAGAACTAATTTGTAAAATGTGGAGTTTGGGTGTACGGTTTGGAGTGGGGGAGGTTATATTGTGGGGTTTGGGTTTAGGGTGTAGGATTGTTCCGGGGGGGTGGAGTGTGGTGGTGGTGTTACTGTGGGATTTGGGTTTAGGTTTAGGATTTATATATTATGAAATAGGGTTTAGTTTTTGGTGCATTCTTAAAAATTTTGAATTATTATGTACTACATTTCTAAATTACATTCACAAATAGAAAAAACTAAAATAATTAAAACAAATCCAGAATAAAAAATAACAAAACCAATAGATTTTTAAAAGATCTCGACTATCTAATGATAAAAACTCTTTTAAAAATCTTTGAAAATATAAACTATCGAATGAAGTGATAGGTGAAATACAAGACGTATAAAAGAACGAATAATAACAATGAGTAAAAGAAAAGAAGACGGTGAAAAAAAAGATGGAAAATTTGGAGAAGAAAAAGAAAACTCGAACATGAGGAAATAAAAATCAAAGAAGAAAAGATGGATGTGAAGAGAAAAAAAAAGACAAAGAAGAGATCAATAAAAACTAGAATAATATGATGTGGTAGAGAGAGGAGGAATGAGGAAGAAGAAAAATCGGAAAAAGAATGTAAAGAAAATTAGAAAATAACAATAAAAATAGTGAGTTAGAGAATATAAAGACATCACAAGAAAATATTGAAAAACAACAATTGGAAAATAAGAAGAAGAAAAACATAATGAGAATGAATACAAAATTGAAAGAAAAATAAGAAAATTGAATAATTAGAGAAGAATAATAGGGAGAAGAAAACAAGAAGTGAAAAATATTTTGTATCTCTTTAAGAAAATAAAGAAGATTATGCAAAAGAATGAGAGAAAAAAAAGACAAAAGTAAAACACACTCAGATTAGAAAAATAAAAAGTCGGCGAAAACATAAACGATGAATACAATCATAAATTATACTACTTATATTATTAAAATCTTTGTACTCGCACAAAGTGCGGGACTACAAGGTGCACAAGGCTCCATTTTTTGTGGGGTTATTGTAGGGTTAGAGTTTAGAAGGTAGGGTTTATATTGGTGGGTGTAGGGTTTAATTTTTTGTGCACTTTTAAATCTGTAGTTCTTGAAAATTCTAATGAAAAAAAATAGGAAAACAACTAAATTTTTTAATCTTTTGTTCAAATCATATCGATTAAATAATAACATTTGAAATTCTTAAAATATCATATGAAATTTTGTGCAACAACAACAATTACACCAAATTAAGCAAAAATATTTAATTCAAATAAAAAACATTTGTCTATTATGTGGTTATGGTGTATGGGGGAGAGGGTGAGGTGTTTATTGTAGGGTTAGGGTTTAGAATGTGGGGTTTATATTGGTGGGAGTAGGGTTTATTTTTTGGTGCATTTTTTTAAATCCTTAGTTCTTGAAAATTATAATGAAAAGAGAAATAGCAAAACAACTTAATTTTTTAATCTTTTGTTCAAATCGATTAAATAAAAACCTTGCGTATTTAAAATAAAATTTAAAATTATGATATTTTATCCAATAATATAAATAAAACATATCAAATACGATAAATAAAATTGAGAATAATATAACAAAAAATAAAGGAAAATAATCATTAAAAAAACTTCATTAGACCATCTTCTTCATCAAGCAAACTTAGTGCTAAATATGCTTATCTAAAAGTAATTTAAGTCAATTAATATTATGAAGTTTTATAAACATTTGGTATGATTTGAATATTTAAAATATTTTAATAACCATTGATAATTTTCTGTTATTTCAGTTTTTTAGAAAAATTATTGTAACGTTTAAATTATGAAAAATATTATTTTTTGTTTATAGATATTTTTATTTTCAAAAACAACTCATGCCCGCGCAAGGCGCGGGCCAACTAACTCGTTTAAATAAAATGCGTAAAATGCAATTGAAGAGCAACAAAATGGTCGAGACAGTCATGTGCCATAAGCTCACGGTCCGGAATGAGACAAGATAGTTTTGTCAATTTGTTAGTTGGTCCATAGATTCTTTATTGTTGAGCTGAAAATATTCGTAAATAAATATATGTTCCAAAGCCTCCAGATCTTGAATAGTCCAATCACGAAATGTATAAAAAGGCAAAATATGTATTGTAGGGTTTGTTTTAAAAAAAAATCCATACATTATGCCAAAAAAATTCCCACTATTGTACACGGCTAACTATATTGGAAACATGAAAGTCCGTTTTCGAATAATTCACTAAATTACCCAATTTAAAACATCGCTTTAAATCACACACATGCCATGAAATTTATAAACTTCTTCTTTTCTGGATGATTAAATAGATGTTAAGCAAACCTTTTTCCCTAATAACCACCTATTTTTAAAAAACTTAAACATTACTAAAATTACAAAACTAACTAAAGAATTGAGAAACTTTGTTAGAATTTGTTAGGAAATCTCAGAGATAACATAACGAGATCGACTTGGAAGGAAAGTGAAGATTTATATATATTTCTTTGATTGTTAAATATGTAGATTTCCATTTTCTATTCTCATATATGTAAAGAACTTGTAAGACAAGTTATTATGATCTTGTATAAACAAGCCTACTGGGCTAATGAATAAAAATGAGAGACACTATTACATTCCTCCAAATTTATCATAATTCATATACTACATGCTTAAAACTTTATTAAAATTCTTCTTTTTATGCGTAACTAAAAGCCACGCTTATTCGCACCATTTGTGTATTTTTTACTTAATTAGTTTAACATAAATATAACTGGAAAAAAAGTAGGTTAATAATTGAGAGGAAAATAAAAAAGTGGACAGAAGAAAATGGGAATAAATGTGGGCACTGTTCTATAAAACTTGCACACTCCCTTCTTTTTCGCCAACGAGTAGCCATCACCACCACCTTCCTTTAGATTCCTCTCTCGATCGTGCCCACCAGCTCACTCACAATTGCTTCTCTCTAATCCCACAATCTCCACTTTTAATAAAAACTTGTAATAATCGAGCTCTTTGACGCAAGTGAAAAAGAAACACACAAGAGGTGGGTCCCGCATTGTAAGAACCACCTCTCTTTCTCTTCCATAGTAGTGGCTATAGTCAAGTCACACACACACACCCAAGAAAGAAAATAAAAGACGTTCCTTTTCTCTTCGTCTCCATTGGTATTATAGTCAGAGTCAGACATTAACGTGGCTTTAGTGAAACACCCATTTCTCTCTAGAAACCCACAAAGAAAAACTCAAGCTTTTCCCACTTTCTTCTTCCCACTCTTAATTTGGTTATAAAGAGGAGAAATTGCTTCTTCTTTTTTTTTTTTTTTTTTTTTTTTCAATCGAAATTTGGAGTTGGAGAAGAAATAAGATCGCAACAATCCAGAATTGGTGAATTTGCTTTTCTCTGAGGATTATATTCTTCGATCCAGTCAGTTTTTTTCATCTACCCAGGTAAATGAGAATTGAACGAGCTAGATTATAGATTTGTTTTTATATATCTGTTCTTGGGATTATCGTATACTTATTTATTGGACCAATTCATGTTTATTTCATTCCCAATAGAGCATTAGCAGTTTCTTTGTTTAGTAGTCATGGACTCTGAGTTAGCTTTGGTATAAGAACTGATGTAGAGATTTTTAAAACTTTTAGGTCAATTCTAAGTAAATTACCTTGAACTGGTTGTTTAATCCCAAAATGTTTCTTTTGAGCTTGAAGAATCCATCAAAATTAGGCTTTTCTCACTGATAATTAATGGGCACATCTAAAAATTCAAGCTTTTAATTTGTGTAGGGTTCTTCGTTTTTAGCTTTTCATTGCTTTTAGGTAAGAGATTAGGTAATATTTTTAAAAACCTTGACTTTTCAGCATTTCAGCTCTGTAGCTTTAGGGTCTCAAATTCGGATTTTGTTTGGTACAGTAGATTCATTACAGCTCACTTGGGAATTCTGCATAAATTTTCACAATATAACACAATACAACGGTTTTGAAGATTGCACAATTGCTAATTTAAGCTAATCTTTTGTTATTAATTAATGCACTTAGTTAGTAACATTCTCACTTGCTATGTCAATGTGTTGTCTTTCAGATAACAGAATGAGGAATTGAATTTTGCTCAGCTTTGATTTCTAAGTTAGCGAGCAAACAATGGGTAGTGACGCTCAGAAAGATGACCATGAGCTTGGAGATTCATTCAACATTGATGAGAATCTGCCAGTGGAAAATGGTCTGTTGAAGTCAATGAACTTGTTGAGTCAGAAACGACAGCAGCAGCAATGCACTCTAGTTTCAAACAGTGGCAAGTGGCTACAGATTGTTAAAAACGGTCCTTCTCGCGCCACTAGTTTCTTCGATAACAAGATCCCAAGGCATTTGGTGTCACTGGACGAGAAGTACCTCCGAAGATGCCTCGACTTGATCAACATCAGTGCGTTTAAGTCAGCAAGTTGCAGCCTTTCTATGAATCTTGTTGGATCAAAGATGAGTTTTTCCTCGTATCACTTTGATTCACCTCTGATGATGATCCCTAAAGAAAACGTTGCTCGTCTTGTCTTTGATCTTCCGCTGGTGGATGAATCAGGGAGTCCAGTGATTAGCCCTGTGATTACAGGTTGCAAGAGGGTTACGTATATGCTTGATAAGCCTTTGTTACACAATCTTGATGGTGATGGTGTAAAAGGGTTGGCTTCTTGTGATGAAGCTGGAAAGATTCCCAAAAAGGCTGTCTCTTTATCAAGCACAAACTCTATGAGTTCGTCTTCTGAGCAATCTTCTTCATCTTGGTCTCCATCTTCAAGTGTTTCTCAAGGAACACTTCAGTTCACTATGAAAGACAACAAGACGCCTCATTTTGTTTTCTCATTAGATGATCAGAAAGAGACCTACGTGGCTAGCTTAAGCACTAGTAGTGTTGGCTCTGGTTTCGACCGTAGCTCTCTAGAGTATTCGTATCTGATTCATTTGAAGAAAGGCCGCGGCTTTGAGCCGCAGCATTTGGTTGGTAAAGTGAAGGTATCAACTTCGTTTTCTGTCTCGTCTGCGGATGGAAAGACCGTAGAGAGACAGTTTGTTCTGTTCAGCGGCGGTGGGAATCCGCAGTTACAGGGCCAGAATGAGGTCAAGAAGAGCAGAGGATTGCCTAAGAAAGTCGTTGATGCGCTCAAGAGCACAGCACGGACTTCGAGGCAGAGAAGTATCTCAAGATTCAGTAGAACAAGCTCCGTTGCGGATTTCTGTTCTTGGGAGCCGTTTCAAGAACCTGACCATGATCTTGAGCCTGTAAGCTTACTGGATAACGAGCTTCCACCGAATCTTGAATCTTCAGCTGTTGTTGTGAGAGAAGAGTTTCCTGAGGAGGAGGAAGAAGAAGAAGAAAAAGTTGGAGGATGGGGCATGAAGTTTCTGAAGAAAGTGCCATTGGCTCGACCCAAGGATGCTTTGAAAAAGTCTATGCATTTGACGAGCGTGGATGTTGTGATCCCTTCAGGGATCCATGGAGGGCCGAGAAAGAGAAACGGTGGTCCTTCAAGCTTGGTTCAGAGATGGAAATCTGGAGGAAGCTGTGATTGCTCTGGATGGGACTTAGGCTGTCCCTTAACGGTCTTTAAAGGCCAAGCTAGGAAAGACCAAAATGAAGGCCAATGCAATCTCTTTGAGCTCTTCACAGAGGTAAAAAAACAGAAACTTTCTTGCAGACAAGATGACTCATCACTGAAAAACTCAATCTTGCTGATGATGACTCTGAAATTTGACTGCTTTGGCTTTGTGTATTTTCAGGGATCGAAGCAGGGGATTCCTGAATTGAGGATAATGAGTGTACGAGACGGTCTTTACTTTGTCCAGTTTCAAGAAAAGATATCAGTTTTGCAATCTTTTTCAATCGCTTTGGCGTACATTCATAGCCAGAGCCAGAGACTTCGGCCATGGTCATCATCAGGAAAGTGTATAGAGAAGCTTAAGTAGCTAAAGAGAGGATTGCACAAAGTAAGATGGGCAACAAACTCATCCTAAGTAGTTTTTAGCAGATTTTTTTTGGTTTATTTTTACAGAAAATATATCAATGTCTCTTTACTGAAATTATATGTGAGCTTTGGTGTACTGTTTAAAGGATTTTCGAAAGGGTTGTGTGAAATGTAAATTATGCGACTGTCAGATTTTTTTGACATTTATGATATTCTGGTTTTACATAGACTTCGTTTTGTCAACTAACTTTAGCTTTATGCAATACAGTCAACTGTTGCAATCTTCAAATCCAAAGATTTTCAACTGAAGCTGTTCTTTTACTTTTGATCAAAAGATTTCATCAGGTAAACACCATAAACTTGGGAAAAACTAAGCAAAATCTCTTAAAAACCACGTCTGAAAGCTCTCACATAAGATAGATTCTTGTCTCTACTTAAAAAAAACACCCAAAACATCAAGATTCGTTTTCAAACTACATATTGAGCTTCACTAAAGAAGAGATAACAAGCAAAGTGGCTTAGACGATGGCGTTAGCAGCACTCGCAATCCTTGGCCAAAGATCCGCACACTCTTTCCCAATCGGTCCAGTAATCGCAGAACCTATAACAACACAATAAGCCCCAAATGTCTCAGAAAAGATCCCAAAATGTGTTTGATAATCCCTAAATTCATAAATCTTGTAAAGAGAAAATGAATGAACAAAGAAGTACCTTTCATTTCTCCCTTGGGGTTCACAATCACTCCAGCATTGTCTACAATCAAACCAAACCAAGCACAGTCTCAAATCTCATTACCACATAAGTGTATCTATACAGAATTCAAGAAGTTGTGAATGCAAAAAAATTTACCTTCAAAGTACATGAAAACACCGTCCTTTCGGCGCCACGGCTTACGCTGCCTAACGATCACAGCAGGAAGAACCTTTTTCCTCAGATCCGGTTTACCTTTCTTGACAGTGGCCATAACCATGTCTCCAACGCAAGCAGAAGGCAACCTGTTGAGACGACCTTTGATTCCTTTAACCGAAATGATGTAAAGGTTCTTAGCTCCTGTGTTGTCTGCGCAGTTAACCGTTGCTGCCACTGGAAGACCCAGCGACATCCTGAATTTGTTACCTGACGTACCTCCACGTCCTAAACCAAAGAATCAAAACCAAAATCAAACCACCATTCGAGCAAAGCTCAAAGAAAACATTTAGCCGGTTTTTGATACTAAGAAATGAAGATTGGTATCGTCAGAATCCAATATGTTTTGATATCATATGTTGTTAATGAGCTGAGTAGATGAACAAATCAGATCAGAATCATGGATTTTCAAACATTCAATAGCAGAAGTGGCAGATCAATTTTTCAAAAAAAAAAACTAAATCTAGCAGCAGGAGGCTTCAATTGAAGAATGATAAGGAATCGAAAGACAAACCTCGCTTCGACATTTTCGACGGCTCGAGAGAAAGCTCTGGGGAGGAGCTATAGGGTTTCTGGTTGTGTTAATGTATCAACGGCGTCTGATTGAAGAAGAAAAATGAAGGAGAAGAAGGGATTAGGGTTTAGACCCAAACCTATGGACAAGTTAATAGCCTTTTATGGGTCCATAGAAGCCCAAGAACGTTTCGGTCATTGTAATCTCCATATTTGTGTAAATAAATTTGTTAAATTTATGAAAATATCTTTGTTTTTTTGTTTCTTGTCGACAAATTTTACACAACATATTTTTTACAGAGATTTTTGTTTTTGGCTTATTAAAATACAGAGCATGACAATACAAGGCTGCAATGCAGTGATATACATACTTAAATAGACAAAAGGTATATAAGTCCTTAGTCTTGTTTGCGAGAATTAGCCTTCTCTTTATTCTTTTTAGCAATATATTCAAATAGACTTCCATCAAAGCAACCTCTCGCAGCTTCTTTAGACAAGAACCCTTCATCGTCCTTTGCAAGAATATACAGTAGAATCCATTCGACTTTGTTTGCAAGCCTGCCATAACCATCACAACAAAACCGGACGATTTAGTTTTGGTTTTACCGGTTACCATGTGTATAAATTATCGACCAACTAAGAATCAGGAATGTTTTGGTATATACTAACCATCCAAAAGGATCGATTGCCATTCGATTTCCCTCGGTTACGTTCCAAACTTCTTTGAACGAAAGCTTGTCCGAAACCGTTTTCGCGTATTTGCTAAATACGTTCTCTAGATTGACCGGGACGTACCTACAAGCGCAATTTTTACAAATTGAGTATTATGCCAATTTATATTTGAAATTGCATTAGAGATTTTATATAATGTTTGAAATGTTACCTTCCTTCGGTGTCGTAAGTGCTTGAATCACTTCCATGTTTGGCTTTGTGTATGTTGTTGATATAAACAGGGAATAATAGTGATGGCCACCAACTCTATTTACATATTTACCGTTCAAAAAACAATATATCAATCATAAAAATAATCTAGAATAGTTGAAATTAAATTCGTACGTAGGGTGGTAGGATTTGTTTATCCATACCGGAAGTGTAACGTAGCTAAACGCTGAGTTTATGAGTATGCTCCAAAAGATAGCGGTGATTGGGTTAAAACCGAGGTCACGAAATCCTGCAGTTTTTTGGTTATGATAAATGGATATATAACGAAAGAGTTAAATTTTAGATAAATATTTGATTTCTTTTTTTCTTCTTCAGAATGTAATCAGATAATTTTACCTGCATAAGTCTCCCAAGGATAGACGATTCCGTCGCCGTTTTGGTCAAAGAAAGCAACATGTTGTTGCATAACACTCATGCCTTTGCTGTCATGACCTTCTGTTCCATTTGGATGCTCTGTATCTGGAGCTACTAATGCTCTTGCGAGATCTGATTTTCAATTTTTGGAGTGTTAGATTATACTATATATACTCTTCAATATATATAGGTCTATGCGTTTGATTTCTTAACACACTATAACCAAAAAAAGGAAAGTGAAAACTTGCATTTCTAAGGTACATCTTTGCAAATATAAACTTTATAAGTTTCTTATGAAAATAAGTAATTTCCTTCACTATTCATAAAAACTAAAACTTTTCAACAAACTAATAGACTTTAGAGTTTATATAGTTAGAACTTGTAATCTAGTGGTTTGAATTTGTGTTATTTGTTTTTGATGTGGCATTAATAATCCAGTTTCAAAATCAATATATAAGTGTGAGCTATAAACGACAAACAAGATCAACATGTAAATCCAAATAACCTTTTGTTCTTGTTTCAATATTTTAATGAGAACTTCGTAAAAAGTTAATGATTTTCACAATACCTTTACCAATTTATTTATTTTTTTTTTAAATTGAATAGAAAATTCAGGGATCTATGTATAAAAAGTTATTTAATTGCAGCCGCTTGTTGAATATATATGTGAATTTAAATTTTATTTAACATAACATGCCACTTACACTTTCACTTGTTACACATTCAATCAAAGTTGGACAAGCATGGCTTACATGGTTTGGGCAATGTTTCCTCCAAATCGTCCCGTACTTTTCGCTGACCGGTCACCGGAGCTAACGGCGCCGTCGTGGCAAAAGCCTCTGACTGCTCTCCCATTCTCTCAAATATTCTTTCACTCTCTCTCTCTCTGTGCTGTGTAAGTGTCAATAATTGAAGATGCTCTCTCAGTTTCTTCTTTTGCAAGAGATGGACACTCTGATATTTTGCTTTTGCATGGTCCTTTATAACGGGGATGATGTGAGACAAGGAAACGAAGACACACGTGTCGTAAGGTTGTGGTGTAAGGATTGAAAAGAAAACAAAGGACACAAGCAAACATGACCACATCTAATATGGTGCATGCACGTGGCGATTCTCAATTTGCTGAAATATGCATTCACATTTTAATCACGAAGAGGTCGGTGGAAAAAAACATCGTGCTTATCTTATAAATTGACATACTTAAGGAAGGAAAAAAAAACTCCATTTAATTTCTTACCAAAAAAAAACTTTATAATTCTATTAGTATCATACTATTATTTGCGAAGTCAGAATTTTGAATGGAGGCACCACGTTAATTCTCAGCATCAGAATTACATAACTGCCCTTAATGAAAATCTATTATTAAATCTTCTGAATTTCTTTTTTTTTTTAATTATTTAACGATTTCGTTTTTTTAATACAAAAGTTCATTATTTCCTTATTAAATATTAATAATTATCCTTTTATTTTTTCCACGATTTATATTTATCACGCAGCACAATTTGGAAAAAAAGAACAAACCTATTTCAATATGGTCGGCTAAAAATAAACCCTAACTTTGATAACTCTCCATACAAACCCATATATATAGTCCTCCTAACAAAAACCCTAGATTGATCGTTTAGGTTAGAATTTAGTTTGTGATTTTTAATTGGTAAGAATTCCTTCGTGACTTTCTATGATTCGTGCAGATATGTTATTTATTTTTGCAAGCATTATTTGAGTTTGATAGGTTCTATGTATATGATTGTTTAACTGTTTTTAGATCTATTTTTTTTTTGTAGTTGCATCACTTTTTAGATTACGAAGAGGAATTGAAGTTTAGAGATCAGAACAAGATACAGATGGGAAGCACAAACTTTTAAAAGGTGATTAAAATAGCTTTGATATTTCTGGTTTGGCATTCCAATTGAATTTAATTTAATACAATATTTTTTTTTCATATTTTTGTTTTTTTGTTACCATCGAGTTAAATGTCAAAGGCGATTTTTACAAAGGTAAGCAAAAGTTATTCCAAATAAATATGTTTGTATTATAATCATGATTAATCAATGATATTCAAGCTCTTAAATTGGTTAAGAGTATATGATATCCACTTTTTTTGGAAGAAATCAAATAATTAGATATTTTAGAAAAAAATCCCTAGATTTTACAACCGACTTAGTTCTATTTATATAAATAGATTGTAACAAGCAAAATACATAGAATTTTCGTTTCTTCGTTTTTTCTTTTTTGTGTTCTAAATTCTTCGATTTTATATTTCATCTTTTGTATGAAATAGAAAAACCAAGAAAATATGAGCAGAGGATAATATTAAACATGCATAAGAACATGTATTCAATAACATGGAATTGTTTGATTTTAAGTCGGTATGATCACATGACATCGTCGTAAAAGTCGGCCATGATTTTAGTGTTCTTTCTGTTTTATGTTTTAGATGGATTGTTCATGTTAGTTATTTTTTATTCTCTGTATTGAAGTGTTGTATGTTCATGCAAATACGTGGTTTAAATACAAATCTAATAATTTGTGTTCTCTGATCTCTTTTTTCATAGCATCTGAAGAAGAGAAAAAAGAGTTGTTGTGAGAAAAGTGATCTAATACAAAACGTATTAAAAATCATGGCTTTGTCACTGTTTGAACCTAGGATTTCATACCAAATCCTCTAGAAATTAGTTTTTAGTTCGCAGATAGTTATTTTGTAATTTCTAAATAGTTAGGTTTTAGCTGATTTCCTTCTTCTCTTTGTTGTTATTAAATTTTGTTTGTTTACGAGGTTTGTACTGGATTCAACAAGAGAAACATGGCTTCGTAAAGGTTCAACAAGAACAAACCAACTAATTTTTCTGCATTGGCATAGCAGATGTAACAAAGGTGTTAAAAGGTTGTTGCTTTGTCCATTACTTTTGCAGGGGGTGAACTGAAAAGATTAGAGACACATAAGGGAATCATTATGCGATTTGTCATAGGTCACAAGATGAATTTGAAATTGTCTTTTTCTTCAAAAATTGATATGATAATTGACTATTATTTTATTGAAGCCGAAGAAGAACAACAAAAGAACTTCTTGCACCTGGTAAGTTTGCTCGCCCACATGCTTATATTGCTCTGTGATTTTCTGTTTGTTGATCAAAAGTTCAAATCTTGCAGAATCACATCGAAGGTATCATGAATTGTCATCTAAAACCCAAGTATATGTCTCATATGTAAATCTCGGTAAGATAATAAAGCACACATGTCTCTTTAATCATATTTTAATAATGTTCCAAGAAAAGTTTAAGTTTAGTTATCATCCATGAATGCTTGGTTCTACATTGGCTCGCCACATACCAGAACCGCGAAAGTGTACATTGATTGCATCAAGTCCGGAACTGTCCTAGCTCAAAAGTAAGCAAACAAAATCTGTCACAAGCTCATGTTTTTACATAGATCTTTGACGTTATCTTCAAATATCGTGTTGCAGAGGAGTCAAATACCATTAATCATAATATAATTGGAAGTTTGGTGAATAAGGAAACAAGTACTTGACACACGACTGTACAAATCTATACCATCTCCAAAAATTTAGCAACTTATATCTTAATAAACCGGTGACATGGAGTTGATTAAGTACCATAAACTAATTTAACGTATGTTTCATTAGTGCATGAGATTGAAGAGAGCTACGATGATGAACACAGTTACCCTGAAGACGCGCACATATCTTTGTATTGCTTAG